TATTACCACCCATCAATACAGCATGAGTGATAAACATAAATAAGACTGTAAGGAAACTAGTCCTAGCTAAAACATTCCCTCTACCTTTGCTGATTTCCTTAGCAGCTAGCATTTAAGATGTTAACTAAAGGGCATTGCATAGCTGCTTGCAAAAAGAGCAAATTATCTCTGGCATGCAGTTGGCTACAGAATGACCACTGCATATGTTTTAAAGCATCAAAAGTCTTACTGACACTCAGAAATCTTTTGTATCTTGGCAGATTCATAGAGATTTAGCATGCACATTTCTATTTCTACTTGAAAGATGAGTTCCTGCGATGGAATAAATAGTAAGATACGTTCATTACTGCAACTAGGATTAAGGCTTATCAGGAATCTCCTTCTAGGCTGAGTAATTTTCGGCTGCCCAGATTTCCAGGAGACTTACAGCAAATTTAGAAGTGCTTCATAAAACTCTTCACTGACAATTCTGGGGTGGTCTCTCCCATGATTTGCTCAAGAATTGCTTAGGAATAGTTCTCTTCCATCACTGTCACTGCTATTACTTGCAAGTGTGCAGCGCCACCAGCTGGCCGAGGAGTCTCACGCCTTTTGGCTTTACAGTTTTCTGGTTACCTCGTAAACACCAAATATAAAACACTGGTACCCCCTGTACCCCTTATTCTCTATTCACAGAATGGTGTTACAGGGATTGCAGCAGAAATATTTTCTAACTCTTACCAACCAAGTTATGTGCTACATGCACCATCAGATGCACAGCACTTAACTGCAGGAGATGTGAAATCTAAGCCCTAGCGTTCAATAAACAATGCTGAAAACCCAAATACTTAACGTGCAAAATTTACCTATGAAAGGAAAGCCACTTGACTCCTTCACACAGTACAACTCCCGATGTCATGAGCAGTTCTGCAAAGTACTGTGTCTCAATTCCCTCTTCTTCATGCTTCTTAAACTGGATACCAGATGTCGTCAGCAGTTCAATAGAGTCCTGAGCATACATATCTTCTCTAAAAACAGAGAGGAAAAGTAAATTTCCAAAATCTACAAATCTCAGTAATTATAAGCCTGGTAACATCTCTTTTTTTGCTAGTCATTCCACAGACTTCACTAGCATAGAGCAGGAGTAACTTGACTTTGCTCTGGGTTAATTACAAAACCAACTGTTTTTTCAACGCAATTTTTTTTTTACCTTAACTAGCATTTCACCATTCCCAGCACCTCCATTTATGCCATCTTCATTAAAAAAAACTAGTTCCTGCTTCTCTTCCAGTTATCTACAACCCCCCTTCTGCAAATCTACAGAGAAAAGTGAATCTGTGGATCTTATTCAGTAAAATATCTGTATTCATTACTTGAACTGTGACAAATTATATGCAATAGCTGAAGCACTAACACATTTCATTACAGAACTTGGAACAGTAGTCTCCAGATCCCAGTGCTGAATTAGTTTGTGGATAATATTTCCCACAGGATTTTCATGATTTAAGCATACATAAATGTTTAGACACATGTTCATCAAAACTTCCTTCTTGGTACAACTGAAAATTGAATACTTGCTCCTTCTACTCAAATCCTTAAAATTCAGGTAGTTTAATGTTTTCTTTCTAAACAACCAATTTCAACTTTAATAGCCATATTTTGGACCTAAAATTTAACAGGATGAAATAAAATTCCTCTATTCCCTGTTTGATCTCCTCTTACTCCTGTATTTATTCCCTTTACCACTAACAATTTCATGAAGTTTTAAGGATTTTATGATGAAATTGATGTTTGGGGGGTTTTTTCCCCTAAAGTTTAATCTGTATCAGCATAACAAAAACATAGAATGGTTATCTGGAAAAAAAAAACAAAACAAACAAACAAACAAAAAAACCAAACATGCAAACATGAGTCTACTTAAATGATATTAATTTTACTGTCCTCAACATACTAATCCACAGTTTCTTCAGTGTAAAGTTTTAAATTTTAGTAAAAAGCAACTGAAACATACCAAAAAATCCAGACAAGACAACCAACATATCAAACTTGACTATTAGATTCAGTCATAGGCTTATATTCCTTATTCCTAAGAGTAAGGCATCATTCATCAGAACACAGAGATACACTCTCAAGATGTGTTGTGTCTTTTTTCCTCCCTCCCACACAGCTGTTCGTTAGTTCTCCAGCTTTAAAGGCATCAGCTTCCCAACACCTGTCTATCCCTGTAACACATTAAAGTACCCATCCAAAACAAACCCACTCATTTTACAAAAAGGAGGTTTAATTCTAATTGTTGTTCTGTGCTATTCAGGTGCACAGTTCAGTTAGAGAAATACTTATGCTCTTTAAAAGCAAACTAAAACAAGACCTGGCTGGAACCACACATACACAAAAAAATTACCTTCTAGGAACAAACAACAGCTGTTTTGCTTTAGGAGCAGAACACCTGGCACAGTGCCACTTTCCAAAAGGATGTTTAGAAACAGACAAAAATATTTAAGTTCTCCTCCCATGTAAAAAAAAAAATATATATATTCATGTTTCATGCAATACTTACCGAGCTTATGTTTTTCTATAAAATCAGGGAATTAGTAACAAATTAGTTGGGTGATTATCTGTATCTTGCTTTACTAAGCTGTCTTATCTCTGCAGCATTTGGCACAAATGGATGGAAAACTACTTTTGGTTTCACTTGTTTGACATTAAGTAGGCCTTTGAAGCTCAGAAAATAAATAAAGTGTAGAACAGGGTCTTCTTCCTGGATCACAGTTTGAAGTTATTAGTTCACTCCCTCTTCTCACATACTTAGCAGAATTAGTATATTCTATCAAGAAAATGGATAGTTTCCATCCAGCATTCATATGGCCAGGTAAGTTCAGACATACCAAAATATCAAACCTGCACTTACTTCTTCTTTCAAGAGACACTTCAAACAATAGAGTGTGTCACTGCTCAGACCAAACTAATTTGTGACAAGCCACAGCACTGCTTGTTTAAAAGAGCAGAAAGATCAAGGGAGACAGCAGCAGTTTTCCTCTTTTTAAGAACCCCTACTACTTCGAAAACAAATCTTTTTATCTACAGGAATTAAAAGGTCTCTTCTCTATTACCTCCTTTGTAGGCTGCAGTTTTAGCTTACATATATAAAGTTGTCCAGTTATCAGCTTGTAACAAACTGCCAAAAAACCCCAAGGCTTCAACACTCTTAAATGTGTGAGAAATGTTTGCACTGATATTCAATAGATAATCAACATATGAAAATCTATGAGACCAAATATGTTTACTTCAGGAAAACAAACCCATCAAGATACTAGTACTTTGTCAACAACCAGCTAAAGATATAATTAGAGTGCCACATAAGTGTTTGATCCCCCTGAAAGAGAGAGGTTTATACTTTTATCACTAACAAAAATCACATTGTGAAATAAAGTTCACAACATTATTGGTTCTAATAGACCATAAAAATTAGCTTGCTTTTTAACCAACACTTAGAACAAAATAATTCAGAACTTGCAGGTAACATTTGACATACTTCTTTAGTCACTTCGGTAACTTTACTTTTTTTTTTTCTTCAATTGTTGGTATTTTCCATTTAAAGTATATAAACAAACAATATGTGATTTCAACGAGTAAGTGTTAAACTAAATTAAGGCAGAAGCATTCTGAAATGCTAAACATGAAAGCACAGAGCTAACACATGCACTAACTATAAATGCCCCTTTTGAAAAGTTTTGTTGAAACCGCGTAGCGTTTTTTGACCAACAATAAGACAGACTGCACAGCAAGCAGGGGAGAAAGCACTTGTTTGGCTGACAAAATTCTCCTCATATGAAGTATCTATGGTATTCCAATATTCCAATCAGACAGCTAAAATGAAATTTGAGATTTTATATATATACACACACAAAAACCCCTATATTTTACTTATTTTCCATAAGTCAGAAACATACGTTCAGCAGCACAGAAACTGCACACTTACGTTAAGTTAAATTTAAAATTAAATTGCCAAGTTGAAGTTCCTGGAGGGTATTCTCCTTGCTCATTCATAAATGTCAGTCCCAGCTGAATTATTTTTAGCAGGTCGACATTGCAGCGCAATAGTTGGTACTGATAGTCTGCGTTGCTTCTGAATTCTCCAATAGGCCTTGCAACTACTCCTGGAAATTCCGTGTCCTGCAAGAGCAGAATTAAAACTTGAACAGACAACAAGCATAAGGGCTTACACTGCTCATAATAAAACATTATCCACCGGTTTCATAGCTGAACTGTGTGTAAATTTAGCTTTTAAAAAGGTTAACAAATCAGGATCCTGACGTTCATACATATTAAGAACCCATTATTCTTTCAAAAAAAGTGGATAAAGAAGTTTAGTGACTCAACCGATGGCTGAATAGTTGAAATGATGGTTTTTGAGATAATCTGGCACGGAGGTTGAGCGCCCACTCACCATGGCTACATAGTTATACTTCCGTATAACCTGACGGATTTTCTTCATCTCTTCATCCAAGTTACAAGCCCAAACCTCGCAGATTCTTTGGCTGTGGTCTACGGTAGCCGCTGGCATAGTTGGGTGGGGGAGCTTCAGAGACCGCACATCAAAAGCTACGCTCGACCGGCGATCGGCTTCATGCAAGGAGAAAGTTCAGCTGCCTCTTATTTTCCTAGCCTAGGAGATAAAAACCCAGGAAAGCGTCAAAGCGCTGCGGAAGAAGGCCCCGGGGAGCGGCGGGGGGAGAGGAAGGGAGAGGAGGCCCGCGGGTATCCCCGCGGGCGGCTCCCGGTGCGGTTCCCCCTCACGTTCCCGCCCCCATCCCCGGCTCACCGGGCCCGGCGGGCTCTGGGAGGGCCCCGCGCGCGGCCCCCGCGAGCCGCAGGACGCGCCGCTGCCGCCGCCGCCGCCGCGCGCACAAAGCCATTGCGTCACCGCCGCGCGCCGCGCCCGCTGGGCCAATCGCCGGCCGCGCCGCGGAGGGCGGGGCGGGAGGTGTCGCGCGCTGGTGACGTGTCCCCCCCCTCCCCTCCCCGTCCCGCCAGTGCGGATCGCGCGGCGCCGCCGGTGCCCTCGCGGCCGCCCGGGGCCGCCATGAACTGGCTGTTCCCGCTCGCCAAGGGCGGCGGCGCTGCCGCCTCTTCCTCCTCCTCCTCCTCCTCCTCCGCCGCCGCGGGCCCCGCTCGCACCGGCCTCCAGCAGCAGCGGCAGCGGCAAGTCGAGTCCCTGCGCGCCGCGCACGCCTCGTGAGTGGGGTGGCCGCGGCGGGGGGGAGGGGTGGGAGGGCCCGCCGGTGTGCGCGGTGCGTCGTCCCCCGCACACCGGGGGGATGCGCCCCCCGTCACCGCCCGGGACTCCGCGGCCGTGCTGGGTAAACAGGAGGCTGTGCCCGGGGCGGAGCTGGACTATTATGGTGCGGTGTGCTGGGCCGCGGCCGGCCGGGGAGCGGCACCGGGAAGCCGAAAGCAGGGTTGTCTGCCGGGGCCGCGCTGGCGGCGGTGTGGCCTGGGGACGGGAGCGGGTCGCCGTGCCCGGGGACACCGGCCACTGACCGGAAAGCCAGCTAAGTGCTTTAGTCTACAAAGACGTGGAGACTGCTTTGGGATAAAACCCTCTCTGGGAGCTGGTTGTGAGAGTGTTGTTCTTTAGAAGTTGACACTAAAAGGTAGAGACTGCCAAGGAGCTGCGTGTCACAGTGGCCTGTCTGCAGTGGCGTAGCAGCCCTACAGGCTCTACCGACTATTTTTTTTCTGAGGTTCGGTGCTAATTTGCTGGTAACATGTTGTTCCTTAGCGACTGTTTTTGTTTATATACCCAGTAGAAGCCGTTTGTTTTTATTCCTGTTCAATATCCACACTTTTTTGAACCAAACCCCTTTCTTTCATCTTGAGGTACTCCCTCTTGGCATACTGCCCTCCATTTTTCGTAGTCTTTCAAAACTATTAACATTTTAAAAGGTGATTCAGAATTCATGCATTTGAAGCTATATTTTCAGAGAAGTAAGCATTCTACAGATACGCGGCTTCCTAGGACGTCTGTAGAACTGGAATGATAGATGGTGCCTCCAAAACAATCAGGAAAGAGGAAGGAGAGTGTACTCTATCATATCAGACTCAGGCTAAGAGTGGACTAGGAAGGAAGAGATACTTCCAAGTTTAATAACTGCAAATAGCTCACCATCCTAATATTTATCACACAGGGAACATAAACATGACAGTATTCTAAATACTGTTGCTTGCATAAACTTAATTCTTTTCAGAGCCAGTTTTGAAAATATTTTTGAGAGTTCACTTTGTTAAGGAGCTATCTCTGTGGGCAGGCAGCAGTTAAGTGAACTTCTTTCCTAGCAGGAAGAGAAGCTGATCCTGAGTTAAGACCCCAAAAAGGTGATCAGTGTTTGTCAGGTTGCTGAACTGGTTTGTTACTTGTTTGTGCACGTACCAGCACAAGCACAGGCAGAGAGGGAATGGACCCTGAAGCCAGGAATTGAGATGAGGGGTAGAGACATGATAGCTGCCCAAATGTAACTTTAAAGCCCTGTAAACTAGCTGTCTGATCTCTCTTCATAATAGTAAAATAATTAAAACCCAAAAGTCAGGCAAGCATAGTAAATTCTGACAAAGTGCACAGTTTTCATAAACAAATCTGAATAGCACCACCTCAAATTATTTTCTTTTAAAAAGGTATGGGAAGTCGAGCAAGTTTTCAAAGGTGCAGAGGTTTTTTTCTTAGATGGGACTGATGTGGTTGCTCGTGAACTGTGTGGCAGCACAGATCTATAGGATAGGAATATGCATTAAGCATTGCAGCAGCACTGTTTCCTAAGCAGTGATTAAGTAAATGTCATTCTAGTGTTTGTTTTGTCCGATAAGTCTACTTTGCTATGAATTTATTGTTTTTTATCCTGGCTGTTATTGTTATTCATCCTGGTTGCTCCTCACTGAAATGCTCAAAATTCTTGTCATGGCATAGGTAATTAAGTTATTCAAGTTTGATTTGTATTGTCTTAGGTCATAAAAGTCCAGGTATGTGTGATCTTAATTTAAGTAAAGCAGCTAAACTTCCTTTTCAGGGTCCCTACCACTGAGGAGCTTGAAATAAAGTCTTTGTATTTAAATAGAGGGTTTTTTTACATTTGCTGTTGTTCTAGCCAAAGTTAAGTTCCAGTGTACCCATTCCCACTTAGGGAAGGGGCAGCTAAGTTGATTAGTTCAAGGTTTTCCATAAGGGAGATTATAACCATTTGATCAGCTCCATGCCGTTCTGGTTTTCTTGTTTCTGCCCCGTGTCCTCATCTTCCTCCTCAGATTCTATACATTGTGCCTGTGAATGGAGCATAATTAGATACCCTTCTCAAAAGGATTTTGCAGCAGGCTATTAAAAAGTGTGACAGGTGATTACAGGGCAGGAATGCGTGTGAGAGATTCCAGGGAGAATACTTCAGTTAAGAATGAGGAGGTGCCGATTTTGGTGTGTGGTGTTAGAGCACTTGATTTGAATTCTCATGTGTGAAGATACTTGATACTTTCTTCAAACATGTGATGTCACAGGGCAAGAGCAGATACTGAGTTGTCTATGAGAGGAATAAGATCGGGCTGCAGAAAGCAAGGTTCATAGCTAAGTTCATGTCTTACCCATTTGTTCACCAAGCTCTGAAAGCTAGAGTCGTAAATTCTGTGTCCAAATAATGCTTTGGAAAGATACAAAGCACTCTTAACACACATTTGCCCTAAATTAAGCCAGTAAGTTGAGATTGTTGTCAAAACAGTGAGTAGTGTGATTTCTCCTGCTGTGTTTCCATTGCTTGTCATCCTGTATGAGGTTTTAAAGTTGAACCTCCTATTTTTCACTTTAATCTTAATATTCAGTGTGGTGTGTTGAAGCATATTAACTTATTCCAGGATTTTCAATTTTGTTCTTACGGGCCTTTTCAAAACTAAACTAAGTACAAAGGTCTGAGGTCATGCTTGTTTTTTTAGACTTTAAGCTGTTATATTGACTGTTAATTGGATGCTAACCATTTCTTCTTTGACAGCATTGCAGAAATTCAGAAAGATGTGGAATATCGACTGCCATTCACTGTAAACAACTTGACAATTAATATTAATATGTAAGTAGAGTGAGATATGTCTATGCACATCCTGAATATTAAAATTGTTCTCAAAGAAAAAAAAAAGTAGTAGTAGAACATAAGTGGCTCCCAGCTCGTAACTAATTTCAGGAACTTGGATTTGTATTAGTGTTGTAGTGATGTGAGTGAAACTGGTCGTGTACAAGATGCAAATGCTCATCTGAGAGCAAAAGCGTATTTTGCTGTGCTCAGCTCCAAAGATAGCTGCATGTTTATAGTTGAAGGTAACTAGGGGACAACACTTGAGGGTTTCTGACTCTGAATCCCTTACAACTGCAAATAAACTTGATTAGTAATTTACTGGTCTGCTGTAACTCCAAACTCTTACCCCAGTGAGGCTTTTGGATCATAACTTAAGTGATTTATGGTAACATTTCCCATGCCTTTATTTTGGGGGGTGCTTTTGCTGTGGCAAATATTGATGGTATTCTATCCACAAGTTTTTTATTACCTTGCCCTTCTGACTTGGCTTATTCTTACAGGTTACACTGCATTGTATTTGTAGTAATAACATTTGTATTTGAAAATACTCTCGTTATGCTACAGCTTTTTCTTTGTCCATGGACATACTTACTCCATTGCTATACTGCAATTTTGCCCAGTAAATGCTCTCTTCAGTTCTGTGGAAGTCTGATATTCTGTCTGACTTCTAATTTTATAATTGAATAATCTTATTGTGTGCTTCATTCACTGTGTATTTCTCCATAACTCTTCTTGTAGTAAAGTAAGTTTATGTAATTAATAGTACTTTTTCTTTGCATAATAAGCGTTCTTACACGAATTTTCTCATGGGATATAGCTGTAGTAATGATTATTCTTGTATTTGCAGCTTGCTTCCACCTCAGTTTCCTCAGGAAAAGCCAGTCATCAGTGTTTTCCCACCTGTGAGACATCATTTAATGGACAAGCAGGGAGTATATGTGACCAGTCCATTAATAAGTAATGTATGTATAATTTGTAGCTTCACACAGATCTACTGTTAACAGAAGTTTTAATACATGTCACACTAGATTATTGCTAATACTCCTTGTAAAAAAGATTAGTACAGATCCTAATCTCTCTCAAATTGTGTTTTGGGGGCTGCAAACAAAAATTCAGGTGTTCAGTATACTACTGTTTATGCTTTTACTGCTACTGTTACTGAGTTGAGCATTCCATATATCTAGAAGTATTTTAGTATTATGGCTTAGAAAGTTCCTATTAATTTTTTTTGTCAGTATCAGTAGCACAGGTTTTTTTCTCTACAGTGTATTCCAAATAAAGGAGAGGGATGCTTTAAGACTGTTTTGTAACATAGTTCTTTCCAGCCTAATCCTATTAGAACAACGTCAGGGTTTTAGCTCGAATATTCAGGATTTTAATATGCTGTTCATTCTCCTTTTCTTTGTCAACAAGGATGTGGTAGTTTTTTGGGGTGGGGGAGAGGTTCTGACTCTTTCAGAAGGCAATTAACGCCTTTGTCCTTGGGTCTCCCCACCCCTTCATTGTTTTCCCAAATGTAACTTGGCAACTAAGGTGGGGTTTTTTTGATTGTTCAACAGAAATATTGTACTTCACTGACTCTCCGTTTATAATGGAATATACAAAAGACTTCTAGTTTCTATTCAATTCTGGGATGCTTTATCACTTTATTTGGAGCTTATGCATACACAGTTTACAGTAGCTGATATGTCTGAAATAGCTCCCAGCACTGCTGTGTGGGTATGATAAACAGTTAAGTTCAGCACATTTTGGACCTGTTTGATTCCAGACATAATTTTTCTTCTGCGTTGGGTTTTGTTTTGTACTTTTACCAGTTTACAATGCACTCAGATCTCGGAAAAATTATTCAGAGTTTACTGGATGAGTTTTGGAAGAATCCTCCGGTCCTGGCTCCTAGCTCAACATCATTTCCATAGTAAGTTATCTATCAACATGATGAATGGAACTATGTGTATTAACTTAACTTTTAAATAAGAGACTAAACCAATTATTAGGAGGGCAGGGACTGGAATAATGTAGTGGATATATTATGAAAATTAGATTCCCTGTGCTTGCACAATTTCTTGTGCCTGCTTGATGACACGATTGTTTTGAGAAGAAACACAAAATTTCATTGAAGTTAACTAGATCAACTTGCTGATGTAACTTTATATTTGTTTTCTCGAAAAAGAATATTTACATTATCAGATAAAATTTGGAATTTGCTATAGATCATAATCTGAGCAGTTGTGTTTTTTCATATTCTGTTCATAACCTCCCAGGCTTATGGCGGTTTCTGTTGCACAACTGTGCAACATAAATTGTGCCATTTAAAGAATTCCATTAAATATGCAAAAGTGGTCTGAGACATTCCAACTTTATCAGTACAGTTATGGTTCTTGTGGCTCTCAGTGATACTAGGATTAGAGGCAGCTGCAGCTGTGAATTTAAAAATAATCATTCCTGTTATTTAGAAGTAACTATGTGTGTGTTGCTCAAACTGTTAAATGCTATACCATAAATAAGAACTAATATATGACACAAATATGTTTCTCACAACTTCAGGATGGAAACAATTTAAATTTATGCTCTCATAAATTTTTGTGAAGCAGTTTTCTTACAATTAAGAGTGTGTCTATTTGGCTGCTCTATAAGAATGTATTTTAATGGAGTTTTATATTGCAGTATAAGACAAGAAGACTTATTACATTGGAAGTAACTCAGAACAGATAATGCAAAGTTTATGGTCATCTGAAAATTCAGTCATATTTTTTATGTGGTGTAGTAATTATAATTCAAATGATGAGAAATGTGCTGTAAGCAGTTGGTTGCTCATGGTTGTGGGGTTTTTTTGTTTGTTTTTAGCCTTTTCAACAAACCAGCTGGGATGCCTCCTTTTGCTCCTCAGGGGTTTCCATTTCTTCCTCCATACCCACCTCAAGAAACAAATAGAACAATGGCAGCCATGCCTGTTGCTGAATCAGTTTCTTCAAGCTACACTACAGACAAGCCTGCTGCTCCCTCCTACGGCTTGATTGCTGATCTGCCACTACCTGTTCCCACAGCAGAAACTGTGCTTCAGGTCTGTGCTCTGAGTTTTGCTGCTTAAGCTGTCAGACACTGAGTATAAGTTCCCTCGAGGGCACACAGGGCATTGCCACAAAACTCAAGGATGCAGTTTGTGTGACTGCACTTCATTGTTTTTCTGGTGTTAGGAAAGCATTTTGCCTTTGACAAAAAAGATTTTTGGAACTTGAAGTCGAAGCAACAAGTTTGTCTTTCTGAGTTTCAGTGAAACTAGTGTTATGTTAAATATCTTTGAATATAGAGAAATTTGGTTTTTGGAGCTGCACTCTCCCATAGTGCAGCTGTAATTGTTTCTCCAACCACGGAAATTGGTTTTTTCTTTCTTTGCTGCCCAGAACCTGTCAGATGAGGGCAAGGTGCAATCTTAAGCCTTTATATGTAGAGTTTTATCGTGTATGTGTATATCGTATATCAAACCCCCTCTCTCTGATGAACTCTGGAAGGAATTTTTTTTTATTTCCTCTAAAAATTTTGTATGTAAATATTTAGTCTTTAATAAAATCTTGTCTTTAGAAACAAAAGTTTTCTTAATCTTTGAAGACACTTTTCTGGCTTTGTGAAACTCAAATTTTCTCCATTTTATGGAGACAAAGGCTTTTTCCTTGTCTAAAACCTTCTTTTTCTGAGGGATTATAGCTTTAAAAACCACATGAAAGAGATCAAAATGTCAATCTCTTTGTTCTCACTTCTCTGAGTTGTACTCACGTGTATTTCCTCAGTCGCCCAACTGTTTTCAAACGAAGGACACGGCAAGTCAGAATTATTTGCCTCCAGGACTGACTCATCTTTTGTGACATGCCTCCCCAAACATCCCCGAGCATTTTGTTACCATTGTTGAGTTGAGATGCCTTCTGCTCAGAGACTAGTAGTACTGCTTCTTACCGCTTTTCCTGCTTTTCTTCTTGCTGTCAAACATTCATTTCCAGTTTTGGATCAAGCAGGTTAAATATCAAGAAATTGCTCTTCAAAAATCTACTAAGCATTTCTGAACTTACATTTAGGTTGGCCAGAATGGATTTACTTACAAGATGCCTGATGTTCCTGATACCTTTCCAGAACTCTCAGAACTAAGGTAAATTTTCAGAAGGTAGTTAAACTTTCCATAGTTATTAAAAGGCAGTTACTGCTGGTCTGTGTCTGATCTTTGTCAGAAGTCTGTACACATTACTGAGATTTTTATAAAAATTATAGATAGGAGAACTGCCACATACCGAAATTGTGGAGTCAGAAAGTAAGCCAGCCTTGTATTCAAATGTGCTGCTTGTTTAGGGTTTTCTAATCTATTTACTTCTTTCAATCTAATCTTCTTGATTCAACACCAGGAAAAAGAGCATTTATTTTTATGTTTCCTAACTGTCAGTGTTCTACTGTTTTCTGAGGCCTTACCAGGGACTTAATTTCTATTAATACAGTCAGCGTAACTTTTGAAAGAGGAAATGGGACAGCTTGAGGCTGGTTCACAAATTACATTCTCTTAAATTCAAAAGGACTGTGGGGCAGGGTAGCAGTGGACTGTTCTGTGAGCAGCTCAGCATGTGCAGGGTGGGCTGGGTTAGACAAATCCAGGTGGTAACTGTGCTAGGTGTCCCAGTGCAGATCACTTCTACATCTGAGTACTTTATATACATATTGCACAAATACTTTCGTCATCTCATCACAATTCAAACAAATTTTATTAGCAATTGTTCCCTGCAGTTTGCTCAGATCCAACAAGACAGCCTCCTAGATCAGTTATCCGGGATAGATTACAAATTGGATATTAATTCTGAAGGTTTTAGGAAATTTGTTTCCTTCAGATCTCACATCTTTATGGTGGTGTCATAGTTAAGCGATTGAAAACTCTGGCCTTTTGAAAAGGAGAAGACCTTTAGCAAGAAGGACTTCAGGGTGTTTTTTTTGTTTCCTTTGACACCTTCCAAAGGTTTAATTTAGCTAAATCAGCTTAATTTATCTGATTTACCTAAATCAGCTGTAAGTTCTAACAGTATCCTTATTACATAGCAGCAAGTTAGCAGTTTTGCAGGAAGTGTAATTTGTTTGTTTAAACAAAATATTCTAATCAAGCCTGGTCCTTTCAAGAAGACTGGATTAAAATTCAATGATTCTCGTGGTGATAGTTGAGTTAAATGACAAATGGTATTGCAGCTGTTCTGAATAGATGTATTGTGTGTAGGTGGCAAGGGTTTGGTAGCTGGGGGGCTTTTTGGGTGGCCTTTGTGAGAGGGGTCAGGGGTGGCCCCAGTGCCACGCTGGCTTGGCAGCAAATCCACTGCAGGACAGTAGCCCATGGAGAGGACTATGGTGGGGTAATACCCACACTGCAGTCCGTGGAGGACTGCGCACTGGAGCAGGCAGATACGCCCTGAAGGAAACTGCAGACATGGATAGCCCAAACTAGAGTAGTCTCCCCTGCCAGGAACTGATGCAGTCTGTGGAGAGGAACCTAGACTGGAGTGGGGCAAAAGTGAGAGGAGGAAGGAGCAGCAGAGATCAATTGTATGGACTGACTGCTACCTTTACAATTCCTTCCCTGCCCCAAGGAGCAGAAGGCAATGGGAAGTAGAGGAGTTGGGAATGAAGGAATGAAGCTGAGACTGGAGAAGAAGGGAGCGAGGTGTTTTAGTTTTTGTCCTTCTTGCTCACCATCCAGTTCTTACTGTAATTGACAGTAAATTCAGCTAAATTTTTCTGAGTGTGTTTTGCACATGATCGTAATTGGTAAGTGATCTCACTGTCTTTATCTCAACTCTCGAGCTTTTTCTCTCTATCCTGTTGAGGAGGGGGACTGAGAGAGCAGCTGGGTGGGCATCTGGTAGCTGGACACGGTCAACCCACTATAGCATTGAAAAGCACTTTATAGCAAGTAAGCTTTGACATGGGTGATACTTCTTAACATGCTGCTTTTTAAGCTTACTCCTGCATATAGTAGTGACCACAATCCAGGAGAAAGGGAAAAAAGAAGTTGTAGTCAAGTGTCACGTGTCTGTAAAATCCCCCAAAATGCCTCAGAGTTTTGACAGAGGTGAATTACTCTGTATGTGATGTTTGCTGTTAGATTTCAATCTACTCCTGTTCTGTTTGAATATAGCATATCGCAGCTGACCAGTATGAACGAGCAAGAGGAGGTGTTACTGGAACAATTTGTGGCTCTACCACAACTGAAGCAAGTCATTACTGATAGAGATGAGTTAGTGAAAAGCATCGAAGAGCTGGCAAGTAAGGTTTCAAAATGTTGTCATCTGTGGCTTTGTGCTGTGAACTGAATCCTTAAAAAAAAGTAGTAATAGTGACTTTATTTTACAGAAAAAAACTTGTTGCTGGAGCCTAGTCTTGAGGCAAAAAGACAGACAGTGTTGGATAAAGTAAGTGAGCAATAAAATCTTTTTCAGAAACATTAACAATAATATTTGGTATTTTTCAAGGGGAAAATGTTCTTTTTCTTTTTCCTTCCAGTATGAACAACTTACACAGATGAAAGCAGCCTTCGAAAAAAAGATGCAAAGACAACATGAACTTAGTGAGGTATAATTTCTATATGTTATCCTTTAAGAATACTTCAATAAAATGGAAGGTTTTATTTGTATCTTTAACCATTAAGAACATTCTTCTGTTTAACTCTAATTTTATATGAAATAGATTCATATAAAGTATGAAGAAAATGGGACGGTGTACCAAACAGGTTAAAAGCAAAAGAGGGTTTCTTTGGTTTTTTTCAATGCTATGATAGAGGGAAAGTTGGAAGAAGAGAGTGACGTACATCTAGAGCTATTAAGTACAATCCTGGGCCAAACCAGTTTTAAGAATAGAATGATCTTTAAAGAAGGCTTGTTTGGTACTCATTTAACATAGTAAGCTTGTAAGGCTGTACTGGTCAAAAATGGTGACTTTATAAATTAAATTCTGTGATTCACTGGGTATACTTACTTTGGGCAATATGTTGGATAATGCTATTGAACGGCACATTCAAAAGCACGAACTAGGTAAAGTTATTACTTCAGAAAGTATTTCAAAGAAGGAAAATAATTTCTTGGTATGTTTACTAGGCTATGCATTAGAAGATGTAACCTCTCACAAACCACTTCCTGCACTGAAATCTTCATTATTTGCAAGACTTGTCACTTGAGAACACAACAGTCCATCAAATTAGCACTCATAGTACCTGAATTTCAGAATGCCCCCAAAGTAACAAAATACAAAATAACAATGAAAAAGGTTGTATGACAGCAAACTGAATGATTTCATACATGATCTAAAAGTATTAAATGTTTCCTCACTGGAAAATCAGAGTAGTCTGTCTCCTAATGCCTCCTTTCCATGTGATGCAAGTTGTCTTTAAAGTGGATGTAGGTAGCTCACATCGAGAAACTTATTTCTGTAAGAAACCACTTAAGAACAGGATGTAATATCCCACTTCTGTACTACCTTTCTTTTTTTTTACCTTATTTCTGTTTATTGCATACAATTATTTTTCCTCTAATATGTTTGAGCAGTTAATCAGAACATGATTCACATCCAGTGTCTGTGCAGAGACAAAACTGCAAAATTCAGATATTTATAGATTTTAGATGCTTGGCCTACCCTTCCAGCTAAAATTCACTCACAGTACAAGTAAAAAGACTTGTCTGGAACTTTGAAGGACAGAGAATAGGAGATACCAGGTAGAGCACAGCAAACATCAATACATGAAGATATAGCATGTATGGGAAAAAAGCAGAAAAATTCAGTAGTAACTCTCCAGCTCTCAGCCTCCTAACCATCATTAAATCAAATCAGCAAATCTAACTTTGAGGTTTTATAAGAACAGAAAAATTGAGTATGCTGGTGTAGATTAGCAGCCCATCTAATTCTTGAGTAGGTGCTTTTTGCTTCCCTGTCTTCCTCTCCACAGTCATTTGAAGGGTATTTAAAAGCTGAACAGTAAGTGCTTTTTTACCTTTTTATACTTCTCAGATTCACAACTGAGTTTCAAAAGTAGACCGTGTTTATTGAAGACACTTGAAACGCTAGTTCTACTGAGAAATCATGCACTCCAGAACCTGTTACATTTCCAAGCTGGATGCTTTCTACAGTGTAGGGTAAAAACTGAAAAGCTTTATACATTTGTGAGAATGACTGTGTATCAGGACCTAAACTTGCAACACTTTTCTCACTTGGAATCCTTTCTAGTTTAACAAGCTATACTGTTTCTTGGAGATGAAGCTTCATGTGGTCACTTAGGCTTTTATGTAATAATAATGCTTTATCCACATACTCCATATTTACATAGTCTTGAAAATGCAACTTGGGATGGACAGTTTAATATTACATAGGAATTTTTATTTTTTTAGAGTTGCAGTCCAAGTGCTCTGCAAGCCAGACTTAAAGTAGCTGCCCATGAAGCTGAAGAGGAGTCTGACACTATTGCAGAAGACTTCTTGGAAGGCAAAACAGAAATAGATGACTTTCTTAGTAGTTTCATGGAGAAGAGAACGGTATGTAATATACAAATACTTCTAATCTGAGATATGTACGACACATAAATAAATTTAGGACTTAGAGTTTGAGCAGTCCTGTGATACAGAACAGTGCTTTAGTGAGCTTTGACAGAAGAGAAAATTATCCTTAACTGGCTTCAGCGTATTTAGAATATAATCAGCGTATTTAGAATATACATTCCGAAGGCACGTATTTTTAAGGCAGGAGTGCAAAGGTCTCCTATTTGTGCGATGTTGCAAATATTTTTGTGCCACTTTCTTGAATATCATATACAGATACAGGGAAGATAGCCACATGGTAAATTTCAAATTTGGAAGGTCAACATAAAATGACGTGTTGTATTAAACAACATTAATGTTTAATTTATTAAACTTATTAAACGAATTATTTTGTTGATGGCTATCACCGAATAAGTAACTGAGGTTCAAAAAACACCATTCTTGCTGTAACAGAAGTAACTTAGCAGACAGTGTACCTTTCTGTAAAGATGCCTAGTAAGTTCATTTAATAACATTACAAACAATCCTCTTGTAAGCAATTGTGGATGGAATAATGTTACCAATATAGACCATTGTTCAGCCTGAACAATGAAGGGAGGTAGGTCAGAGGGCTTTTCTTTTTTTAAAAAGTCTGCAAAGTAGCTAAATAATCAAAGAGAAACTGGTATGCATTACAAAAAATTGTGTTCAGAATTCAGTCTTGTACTTCTTGTTTTGTAGCTGTGCCACTGCAGACGAGCCAAAGAGGAAAAACTTCAACAGGCAATAGCAATGCACAGCCAATTTCATGCTCCGCTATAGGTAAACTTTTTTTTTTTTCTCCAAGCAATTTACCATAAGGTTCCACTCTGCGTAACTGCAGATGGATTTGTTACAGTGCTTAGTGTTCTAATGATGCTATGGAAATCAAGTATGTAATGGATCTGTTGTTATTTGTATTTAAAACATAACTTCTGGAGGAGTTAAAATATCTAACTATGGAAATTTGTCTTTACAGACTTCCCGCAAACTACACCTGCCAAGAGAATGAATGAAAAACCCAATAAAGCACACTTTTTAATAATTATTATTTGCAAATAAGCATTTCATCTTATATGGTTGTATTTATAGAAGAGATTGTATACAAAGTTGGAATGGTTTTTGTACAAATTAGGATGTCTCTTTATATTCTCATTGTACTCAAGAATCCTTCTATTGCAATCTTTGGATTAATTTATTGTATTTATTGATAATTCTTATTATATTTAAGTTCCCTGCTGCTATACTCCATTCCTCAGAGATTAAATATCTAAACATGTAATTTTGACTAGCTTTTTACATTTTTATAAAAACATAATTCATATCTTTTGTATTCTGAACTTTAAACATAGATTTGGCTTGATCTGTGGAAGACTCTGAGATAAGTGTTGATAGGACTTTGTAAACTGAAGAAGTTCTTAACTGAGATGGTCAGTGGATTCACAAGCTGTCTTTTCTTGAAGCCAAAATACTGAAGGACAAGTTTTTTACTTCCAAGTAATAATAGAAAACTAAGTGTAGCCTTTATTGTGTTTTGGATAAATAGATTGGGATTAAGCAAAGAATGTGTTGGAACAAATTATATTGGAACCAAAATAGAATAAATGATCTCTGCTTAGATTTTGTACATTGCTTAGTAGCACTGATGCACTGATTTCAGGAGTGGCTTGGTATCTATCACTATAATTAAACACAATTTTCATCACTATAATTAAACACAATTTTCATCTGACCATTTCATTTTCTTTTTTTTTTTTTTGTACATAGAGGATTAATAATCAGGTCACCTCCCAGTTTCTGTTCTATGCAATATGAATATGTTCATCATGTGAGGAACTCAGAAGCACTTTACAAAAACTATCATTAAAGTTCTGTGGGAAATAGTTACTTTTTCCTAATTTTAAGAAAGAAACTAATGTGGTTGGAGTTGCATTGTGTGCTGTGTTAAGGGAAGGGATAGAATTTGAAAGTGAGATTTAATTCTGCTCTTCAGTGACTGAATCTTGCATCTGGTAAGCTGACTCTTTTAGGATGGGGGTATATCTGGTGAGAATTGATAGGACCAAATGAAGATACTTGGGTGTCTGAAAAAAATACACTTTATAAGTGCCATGGTTAAGCAATAATTTTAGAGTATCTTCTTCCAAAAACTGTGCTTCTTGTATATTGACATAGCACTTCTGCTAATGTGCTAACTAAAGTCCTAGTTAGAAATGAGATCATGGTGGTTTCCAAGTGGTTCTGGACTTTTGTCTCTGAGTAGCATGATTTCTGCAGCTCTGGAGAAGAGTTAGATTTAAGTCATTGCTGTTACCTTCTTGGCAAACTCTCATCTGTTTTTGTGCTGGATGTATAAGTTGTCTCTGATCTTTTTCTAAGGATCTAGCTATTGTTAAAGACTAGACTCACAACTCTGTACAGGACTGGTTTTTTATTGTTGTTTCTTCCTTGTAAGCAGAGAAAGGAACAGATGACCAGACATCTGGTGCTTTTGCTATATTGGGCCAGTATCTTCTTTATATGTTTTATAATGGCATGGAATGGTAGGTTTCTGTTCTCATCTGCCTCCTCATCTTGAATGTTGTGTCATTGTATTATGGTGCTCTACTGCCACTGAACTCTTTAGCCAGGTCACCTTCAGGGGATTTGCTTCTCAAACTAGTACAAGTTCTGAACACTTCGGTTGTTCTTCTGATATTACTTTAGCCAATTTGCAAATTCAGAACTTCTCCATGGAGTCTTTCTAGTGGTAGTGGAGTCTAGAAGAAATTGTCACTGTTCAATGCTAGTTCAGTGTTTGTTGTTCAGGGATATGAGACTTTAAGGTCTCCTCTTTTCTCCCTTTCTATTCTCTCATATCATTGTTCCTATTCTTTGGATTTTTTTCCCTTATTTTTTACCTCTTTGCAGACACAAACCCATCCTCTAGAAAAGAAGCACAAAAGTCTCTGTATTCAGCAACTATATATGTTGGGTTAGCTGCAGGAATCCCATCACATCCAAGAAAATCCAGCCTGTTTCTGGTCTTTAAAGGCCAAGCTGGTGCGGGTTTGTATTTTTTCCTTGTGGTTTGTTTTTTTTTCTTATCTTTAGTCCTACATTGGTTGCATATTCACCAGAAGACTTAGTTAGAACACTGGTAACACTCTGTCAAGAGTTAGGTTTTTCGCTTCTAGCATGCTGGTAGCTCACTGTTGAGTGCATTCCTTACCTTATTTTACCAAAATATGGAGTGTAGGTCTAAATCCACCTTTAAACAACTCTCTGTAAAGTGTAAGAGAATGGCAGCTGCTGTTAGATGCATATTCTGAAGGCTTTTGAAATGTGTCAAGTGAACTTTTAAGCAATGGGGAACAACAGGCTACGTACAATGACTTGTTTCTTGGGAGCCTTGCACTATGTCATTCTCAGGTGTTCTGCCAAGTGGGAAAGAGAACTCAGTGAGCAAGAAATAAGAGTAAGGAGATGGCTTGTCTCTGATGTTGCAGTAGTCTGGGGGGGTGAAGTGTGTTCTGTATTGTAACTGCTAATTGAGCTTGGGGTTTGCCTAATTTCAATACCTGATCTTACTGCTAATTTACAGGACCACAGAATGGGTAAGGTTGGAAGGCACCACAGTGGGTTGTCTGGTCCAACCTCCCTGCTCGAGGAGGGGCATCCTAGAGCACATGGCACAGGATTGCATCCAGACAGTTCTTGAGGATCTCCACTGAGGGAGACTCCACAACCTCTCTGGGCAGTCTGTTCCATTGCTCGGTCACCTGCACCATAAAGAAGTTCTTCCTCATATTTAGGTGGAGCTTCCTGTGCATCAGTTTGTGCCTGTTGCCTCTTGCCCTATTGCTTGGCACCACTGAGAACAGCCTGGCTCCATCCTCTTGACACCCTGCCTTCAGATACTTACAGACACTGATGAGGTCCACTCTCTGTCATCGCTTCTGAAGGCTGAACAGGCCCAGCTCTCAGCCTGTTCTCATCACTGAGGTGCTTCAGTCCCCTCATCATCTTGCCCTCTGCAGGACATGCTTCAGGAGCTCCATGTCTCTCTTGTACTGAGGAGCCCAGAAATACTCTTCCCCAGGTGCAGTACTCTTCATTTGCCTTTTCTGAATTTCAGAAGGCCTCTCTGCCCATCTCTCCAACCTGCTGAGGTCCTTCTGAAGGGCTGCACAGCACTCTGGCGTGTTTGCCACTCCTCCCAGCTTTGTGTCATCAGCAAAATTGCTGATGAGGCACTCTGCTGTGCTAGCCACCACTGCAAGCAAGAGGCTGTTATGGCAAAGTCAGTTCTAAGCAGTACGTACTGTAATTCTATTTACTGTGTACATACTCCTGCAGTTTCGCTGCATTGGACCTGGACCAAATGTATAAGTTAGAAATCTTACAGTTTTATTTATGTCCAAGTTCTTACTACTCCCTTCAAAGACTACCATAAATCTTTCTGAAAGAGAGATTTAAGAGACCTTCAGGTCAAACTGAATTAAAACTCTTGACAACAAAGTTATCAGCCTTAATTGTGTCATTATTCTGAACAGTAAATGCTGTAATGCTAAACTTACAAATAAAGGCTTTGGGATTTTAATATATCTTGTAATCATCTAACTTACAGATAGGGTTGGGCATTTGACATTGCAGGACTTCTTGGGTGGATACAGAATTATGTTGGAAATGGATGCAGTAAGCTACTCAAGGAAAAGCTTAATATCTTCATGAGTAGTGATGCGAGCTTTCCATGTTTAACCCTTTCAGTAGCGGAAATTCTTGGAGCCACCTTCACTGAAACAGGCTTTGAAAACCCATATTGGATCTCTGTCTTTTGTAAGCACCTTATTTTGGTCAGACACCTTGTAGACATCACACAGTAATAAGCTATGAAGAAAGCTTGTATATCGATAATAAGAAAATACTTCACATAAAAGAACTGTGTTGTTTAGTCTCCACAAAGGGAATAAATGCATATAAAACACCTTGGCAACCAGCAGACTTAAAAAGTGAGTCCTTGCCTGAACTCAGTCACGATTCTGGTGGACCTCTAAGGTTTCATTAGCTTCTTTCCAGAATAATTTATATTAAAAGACTACTACATTTTATTTTAAGATTTAGCATTAATTGATTTGTTGGTTTCAGGTGTTTTACTGGCAATTTAAATATTATAGATTAAATGCTTATTTTACCTTATTGTCCCACTTTGACAGTGTTTCTGGCCTCTCTGAATTCAGGTTTTGCAATACGCTTGGCTCTAGATCTTTGGCAGATTTTTCATGAGTCTTAGTACTGTGATAAGTTGACCCACCACGTGTTACTCCCTTTCCAAATGAATTGTCAGTGACTTTCCTGTCCTTGGAGGATTTTTGAGTCACTGTGGTGTTTACCTGTCTCTGCACTACAGAGCTTAAGGGTGACCGACCAACCTAAAAGCTGCACTCAGCCTTCAGCCTGCACCCAGAAACAGCCCCTGACCTTGACTGTGTTTGTGATCTACTTGAGAACTCTGTGTGTAGATCAGGGCAACATCTACATAAAGGCATCAAGTTAGCTAGTTAACAGTGATGACATGCTTATCTTCATTGCAAAGGCTCTCTCTTAGTTGTTGCTGGGGCTTAATTGTTATTAGTTTGTGTCCTTAAACATTCTATGCTAGGTGAACTTGTGCTCTGGCTTGCCCCGTCTTCAAAGAATGTGGTTCCCTGCCTTACTTGCTGATCTTACAGAGAGCTTTCCTTCCCTGCCTCCCTTCATTTACTTATTTTTTTTTCTTTTTCTCTTCATACTTTTAATGATATTATTTGCTCTGAGTTGTGCCCTCCAACTTTAATTCTATTTCTCAGACGTTCAGAATCCATTTGCAGTTTATCGCCTTTTTCTCTCTTGTACGGACCTACCAGTAAAAGCAGCTAATGAATAGGTTTTCCTTCTGTGCTTCAAATAGTGATCTTCTGTAGAGAAGGCTTCTGTTGTGTGACCCCATTGCCTTCAGTGTCCTTTAGAGGCACATTTTCATACTAAAGACCAGCTGGAACCTAGTGAGGCCTCCAGCAGTTAAGCTACATTCATTTGTGCCGTATTTCAAATTACAGTGGGCTTATGCCAACTTTGCAAAGGTTTGTAGCACAAGGCTACAAGAAATCAGTATGGTTTTCTGAAGTTTTTTTGTTTGCATTTCCTAAAAAAAAATAAATACGGGGCTGTAACATGCTCCCATATAATTAACACAATTGATGAGAGTCTTGGTTTTCTTAGTTATCAGTTGTAGATTCCTCCACAGATTAAAACTATTGGATTAAAGTATCAAAGTAGGGAGGACAGAAAAATCCCTTGTTCTTGGTGGCAAAGTGACTCCTGAGTAAATGAAAAACTACAGTACAAAAACCAGGATAGCAAACCTTTGTTTCACTCAGTGGTGTGAAATAAAATTAAATTACACCTAAGTGTTTATTTGAAAGTGTTTCTCATTAGCCTGATAATGCCACAAATACATGCAGTACAGTGAAAACAGTAGTAGCTAATGCAAAATTTCAGAGGCTGAAAGACACATCACAGAGGGCTGCTAAGTGAAGGCTTAATAAAGAAAATGTTAATAAGAATATTTTAGTTGTAAAGCTAGTTACAAGGAGTTGCATAAGCTAAACAAAGACAGTGCTTTGAATTTGCGTATCTTACTGTTCTGCATTTATTTCTAGACATGTCTAATAGAACACAATGTCATATATAATTTTATCTCTTAAAGATATGCAGTAACATTGCCCATTTTCAAGCTCATTTTTAGGTAGAATATTCGTGTGTTTTGTTTTTGTTGCTGAATTTGCAGCATATTTCTTTAGTTTGAGAAAATGCATTCAAAGTCTCTAATAACATAAATTTTACAGGCTATGCTCAAAATACAAAACATTTTTAAAAGTGCAATTAAAATCTGGGATTTCATTTATTAAAAATTCATAAAGATTAAAAACAGAAGGCTAGATTCTCAACAGAGTATACCTTAGAGTTGTATTTATTTGAATTGAGCTATAGGGATTTATCAAACTGAGGATCTGCCCTTTCCACTATAAGATAAACTTTGCTGTTAGGAATTATTTGTTCAAAGACAGCAGCTCCCTTAGGAGGATATTAATAATACTGAAGTTTACATACTCACTTTTAATAATGTAAGTTCACAGAATGAAACCCATTCCATAAATGTAATAAAATCTAGCAATTCTAAATTGAGGCATATTCATGTAATATATCTCTGTCTGTAAGTCTGTATTTGAAGGAGTAATGTGAAATGCAAAGTAAACTTTCATTACTACCACCTGACTACTAGAGTTCAATACCACATTGTCTCCAAGCAGGTAAGAGCAGCCATGTGAACTATATTTTTAACTGCTTGCTTTAACTAATACTTAATATAAATAAAAAAGAAACCTGGAAGAATTGCAGTCTAATTTGGCCACCTTTTTAGTGAGTTTCAAGACATTCCAAATTTTAAACATTTTTCAGTTGTTTACTTCTGTACCGATGATTATGAAAACTATTACTCCTATACATTCTTTAAAATATGATAACAAGATTAAACTTTCTGGTAAATGCTGAGTCAGTTCTTTTCTTAAATTAGCATTACCATGCTCTTCAGTTTGGCAAATAGTAAAAGGGAAATTTTGTATGAAGACAGAAAAACTGATTGCTAGTGGTTAGTTTATTTTGAACAACAGAATTTGGAAGGAATATTCTTTATAACAGTTCCTTTATGGGCATAACCTTCCTTTACTTACGAATTCAGAGCGATGCTTTCATAAGTGATTTTTTTAAGTGATTTTACATTCTCTTTCCTCTGCACTGTATATGTAGCTCACTTCCACTCAAATAAAACATTTTCAAGTAGGAATCAGAATAGGCTGGAGAATTTGTGATTTCACTACCTTTAAAATTTTAGGTAGGTGGTTTGAAAGAAAAGTAAGATAGAAAAAAACTTGAGAACAAAACATAAAGAGGCTAGAGTAAACTGCCTAATGTACCTTTCGTTATAAAGGGATGCTTTAGCACAAAGGCTGTGTGAATATTGTTATATTCCTTTGAAGTTTTGGTCACAGAAACTACTGAATTTTCAACACTGCTTGAGGACCAAGTACAAATGGGATGCAGCAGCAGAAACTGCTTACTAAAGGATTTTTTTAATCAGGATCAAAGCTCCATTTGTTCCCTTACCCAGCATGTCCATTTGTTATTTTGCTGTAAAGAATTCTAGTAGGAGGATATGCAAAATAATTGTCTGATTTCAAAATTTAACACCTCTAGTGAAAAAAAAAAAAAAACAAGCAGTGAAGAATATATGTCTGAAGGCCGAAGAGATCTACAAAAATAAGTTTTGACTGCTTCACCAGTAAGGCTAACACTAATGCATCTTCAGCCTTCTGTAAGAGAGTACTTTGGAATTTCACATCTTTGGAGAAGAACTATTATCTTGTACAATAAATAGTTATGGAAATGTACAAAGTAAGGAATAATTATGTACAGCACTGATAAAACAAGTATCACATTAGCTTAACTAAATATAACAGCAGATATTACCTTTTTTAGCACTATGTCTTAATAAGAGCTTGTTCTGCTTAGATCTTTACTTACACAATTGCACAGTTCCCTTTCTTTGGATTATTTCTTTAGGCTACAGACCACTTCCATTCTTCATCTGATGAAAAGATGTCATTCCAGACTGTGTAAGACTCAACTTCGTCTGGATCCTTGCTGCCGTGAAGGTGTTTCAGCCTGCCAGAAATACAGCCTCATCAGAGTCCTTGCCGCTGTCTTCGCTAGGCAAGCAGCCACCCCCACTTGGGGACCTACAGCTTAAGTCCTCCACACCAGACTCCTGATCACTGTTGGCTGAGAGGTCAGGATCAGAACTTTTCAGGTTGTCCTGTGTCAAAATCAGGGCAGAATCTTCTTCATCCCCTTGTGAAGGACTCCGGGATGGGAATGACTTCAGATCGTTGCTGTACTCCTGGGGAGTGTTAGCTAAGCTGTTGTTGGAAGTAGACAGCCTTAACTGTTTGCTTCGGTCTTGTTGCTTACTCTGGACTTTATTATCACCTAATTGTGATTTCTGAAGATTCGCCAATCGCTGAAATAAAGGAAACAGTATATATTACATGCACACATATAGGGCCAGTAATCCTCTTCTATGTCTTTGCCTTTTTTTTTTTTTTTTTAATATAAGTTCAGAGCCCAACCCAACTAGCACCCTTTAAAACTGTCTATGGAGTATGAGAAGTGCACAATTTATCACAAACCAAGGCTGAGTTACAGCAGCCTTCTGAGCTACAATTCCTTCTGAGGTACAGAAGGATTAAACTTACTTTCAGTAGTACTTGTGCACCAACACAGGTAAAATTTTATCCTTAAAGAAAAAAAGACCACTTCTGTGTCTTAATGCAAAACATTTGTGATAAATTATCTGGGAACAAAGATGGCAGATGAACATCCTCATTCCAGAAAAGGATGTAGTGTGTAGGTGACTCCCCAGCATATGGAATTGAGTTTCATTTATCATCAGTTACCGAGTCCGGAGTATCAAGCTCAAGTGTTTATTACCTCTCCTAAGATCTCCAGCTCTTCTTCCAGTTGCTGAGTTTCTTCCTTCACTGCCATCAGATAATCAGTAACTGACTGTCGAGGATGCAGCGCCTTTTCAAAGCGGTTGTACATACCACTCCAGAACCTGGAATTAATGGAAAGGTCAGGAATTTTCTTTCAGTGAAGTAGCCTCATGAGACATAAAGTGCACACTCTTTTTTTTCCCCCCCCAGACATTGTTCTAAATGATCCATCCAAGGCTTAAGCATCATTACAGTGCATACACATAAATTCATAGAGTATTTGGCAAGATTCATTGTTCATTTGCATTTGCTCTGTCCTGAGGGTACAACTCTGTGGACATAAGCACCTTGAACCAATTTTGATATGCAATAAAAAGAAAGCTGAATGTAGCTTTGACTTAGATCACATGGCTGAATGCAAAATGTTTTGTTATTTTTTTTGTATTATTTTGTTGTTCTACAGTATGGGCTCCAGCACATTTTCATGGTACTTATAAAACAGCCAATGGTAAAGACAGTTTTTCATATTCCTAGTTCTCAGTTGTTTTTCTCATCAAGTCAACTTTGAGATTCTGTATGCTTATATTTGTCTGGGCTTGGGGGGTGGGGAGGTAATTAATGGGGGGGAGGGGTTCCACTGTAAAGAAGAGTTAAAAATCATGAGTAAAAAACAGTACGGTGTCCTGTTCTCATACAATTTAAACTGACATTTTAAACTGCCTATGGATGAAGCAATTATACACATTGGCAGTTTCTCCTCCTGTTTTGTGGAATTACTTGACAAACCTTTAGTTAAAACAGTTGAGTTGATTTTTCATTTTCAGGAGGAAAGGACTCAAACTGTAAGTCTGTAGCTTCCTCTAGGGCTCCTGTGTCTTCTGCCTTCCTGACACTATGGCCACAGCCAGACTCTGAGTGTAACCAGTTCAGCAGACGGGTTAAGTAGCTGAGCCCTGCCGTCAGCTGCAGCTGTCTGGCCAAGTAGCTGACAGATATTTTCGGAGCACGTGTGTGCTCATTGGTGGCTTATTATTCCTATCCCAATAATATGCTATTTAAATCACATTCCCCCTTAAGTTTATCATCTGATAGCTCCTGCTTGGAAGTCTTTACGCACCCAAGTAATTCCATTAAATCAACAGGATTACTCATCCACTGGAGGATCTGCTGTATCAGTACCTCTTTTCTAAATCCCACTATCCCAAAGAATATGATTAATGACTATTTTTAAATTGTTTTAAAGTCTGGTATAGTAGACATGAAAGAATTCAATTTCTGTTATTTAGGATTTTTATTGAAGTTTTTATAGGTGCTATTACTTGCAACTGGAAAACAAACTGATCAGTTTTACTTAAATCACAATTTTCATGAATTTCTATTAAAGTTCTTAAGTTTGTTGAGATTAATGGCACAACTAAGTCAGAATGTCAGTAGTAATGTTTCAAAAAGGATATTTTGTTACATTTTTAAAAAAAAAACATGTAAAACTTACTTTGAGCTGTAACAACAACATGGGGAAAGTCTCCTTTTTGTTTTACTAAACACTTCTTTTAGCAATTAAACCATATAATTCTTGGAAAGATCCTTTTTATTTTTGATACCAATTGATCCAAATAACCATCACAAAATCTTGGGATGGAAGAAGTTAAAGCAGCTACAAATTTAGAAACCACAGACAAGAACAGACTTGAAAGAGGCATTTCTCAGTGGAAGAAGTGAGTAACCATGAAATTAGGACACACAACTATCAATATAGCTTTAATCTTAAGCTTCTTTTCAGACTAATACTCTGTTGTGGAATGGTGCAGAGGTGTTCACTGACTATGAGCACACAAGGAACAAACACATTGTATCCGAGATTGAATTCACTGTCTATAAACTGCCTTATAGAACTAGAGAAATACTTGTATATGAAGTCACTTTGTTCCATACTAACACATCCTACAATTCTCTGTAGCAAGTGATAGTACCTACTTGTACAAGAAGTTGCATGGAGCTATCTGTGGGTGCAGCGTCCCTTGGTTTTGACTGTGGTCTGACCTGTATAAAGGATTCAGGTAATCAGCACGATTTTTCCACAAGTGAGCCCATAATGAGTATGTTCGTTCTTGGATTCTGAAAAAAAAAAAAATTTAAAAAAAAATTAAAGCCCCTGCTACAGTTCAGGAATAGCTAAAGCTTAGATCGAGCATTCTAGTCCTCTGTACTCCCCATTTACAATCAGCTTCCTTACCAAAATAAGACTTAAGTAAGAAGTATAGAGAAACAGAGACCCATATTCCCTTGTTGATTACTAAAGGCAAAATCCAATCCATTCCCCATGAAGCAAGAGCAGCTGGAGAGAAAAGGTGGAGAGACTGGTTCCTTTGTGAGGTGGAGAGGATCACTTCCATAAAGCAAGCTTTCAGGCTGATCTCTGCACCAAAAGGATGCCCACATTTAAAAGCACTCCTACCCCACTGAACTGCAATTACTTACGCAATTGGGTCTTGGGATATGATGATCTGTGATGGTTTTGATTTTAAATGGACTCTGGCACTGTGGCTGCTCTGCATTTGAGCAGTAAAAGGGACCAGTGGGCAGCAGCCAGGAGTAATTGCCACCTTCCTCTCATTGCTACTGCTGACATGATCAGGGTACATGAGAAAAGCGATGGATATCATCCTATATTGAGGACCCAGGGCCCCAGGAAGCAGATACAAACATCAGCATTGCCAGCAATGATGATGCTGTCCCTGTTTGGGCCTAAGGGCAGGTAGATTAATTCAGAATTGCTTTGGGGCTCGGCAGCAGAAGGATAGTTTGCTGGCTCAGTCCTAGGGAGGGCTACCAGACAAAAAGGCTGTTCATGAGGAAGTACCTGAGAGAGCAGAACTAAAATGTCCTGACATGAGATCCAAAGACAGGTTAAAGCAGTAACTCTTAAACTGAGAACTGGAGTTAATATCATCTTATATTAGAGCTACAGGGACAGCTTGGCTTGTATGTTGTTAGGCCTGCAGTAAAGGTAGGCCCACATGGCTGAAGGACTAATGCTCTTGTCTGTTTTCACTAATCCATGTCACGCACACCATGGATTACACTCCCAGCAGAGCTACACTGCAGAGGATCAACTTTTTGTGGTATTAATCTGTGTTGCCAGAAAACAACACGCACCCTGTGCCTTATGAAAATACACGCATGCAGATTGGATGTTAATGTCAGACTGGAGTCAGACTGCAGGTTAATGTCTGACTCCTCAATACACCACTAGCCACAGACCCCATATGTAAATATGCTACTAAAGAAATCAAATGCCTAATATGCTACTTTCATACTTCAGCTCTCGTCTCTCCTTCTGGCTGTTACACAGGAAATTCCCAAACTGGCAAGAATAGATGTGATGCTGTATGTGGATGAGGAATCTCTCATTGAATTCAAAGGCACAAGGAAACTGTTCCATTAATTGCCAAACACATTCAATGAACTGGTCAATAACAGGTGATATCTCCTTTGGATCACCATCTAAATTGCCATACCTGAAACAAGACAAGATACGTTTAATTACAACCTGAATTCTTGTAGGAAAACTGAATTAACACTAATGAAAACAAACCCCTCACTTCTAGTGTGCAGATTACATCATAGGCATTCATTTCTAAAATCTCAACTACTAGTATATTTTTTTAGTTACAAAAATGATGCAAGAATCATGGAGTAGAATGAAGGCAGAATTACAAACAAAAAAAACCCTTTTATGGGTATCTTGTTACCTTACCCCTACAAACAGCTGGCTGCTGCATAGCCATGTTTTAATGCTATTAATATAAAGTTATACCACAGTAATATGTCATCACAAGAACGACTACAATGACATAATGACAAAAGTGTATCTTACGACAGTCTCTTAATAGGAGGCCATTCCCAAACCAGAAAACAGCAGGAGAGGTACAGAATAACCTCAGCAGAAAACAGGTTAAAGCTGCCCTCTCTTGGTGAAATTCTTAGAAAGTGGGAAATGTTTACATTCTGTAACTGTCAAGTGAACATCAAATTTTCTATCCATAAAAGTGCCCCTTGGAACCACTTGCAATGAAGAAAAGGAGCCTGAAAATATAAAATACATAGAAGTAAAAAATATAGGTCTACATAATAGGAAGAAGCATTTTCAGTCAATTATTCTGCTTGTCGTGTGTGTGTATGTGTGTGTGTGTATATATATATATAAAAATACGTGTTAACAGTGGAATTCCATAAACATCTAAAATTGAAACTTCTGATATGATTATGCATCAAAGAAAATATAGGAACACTGCACAGCAAACCAAAGCTACCAGTGGTTATTGCATTTCATGATACCTTTTACCACTGATAATTATATACAACTGACAGTATGGTATTAAATGAAGTATTTCCTGCTGGAATTTCACAGGTGGTATGGAGCTGCAGAGATTTCCTGAAAGCTTGATTGCGTTCTATAACAAATTTACATTCAAATCAAGCTATATAATGTAATTAAACACCAATATAAAAATCACACTTTTTATTTTTACAGAAACTAAAAGGAAATTCAAAAAAGAAAGAATATGTGAATATTTATCCATGTTTAAACATATAAAGTCTTCAAACATTATAGCATTTACATTGGATGGATGTTCAAAATAACTTGCACAAATTATTTTCTTTCCACTTCACTTTGCCTGACATTTCTGAACAAATCCTGCTGTTTTTGTTAGAACAGAGTGTAATAGGAAGAGTATGTTTTATGTAATAGATAACTCACAGGCATGCCTAAGATTAAGTAGTGTCTTGGAAGGTGTAGACTTTGCTGAACAGGGACTTATGTGGGGAGCCTTGGCACTACTGAAAGTTCTGCTGGAGTCCAAAGGGATTTTGCAAGCCACATACATACTGCTTTTCACTCACATGGACCTCTCAGTGCTCACAGCAAGTGCGAGACCAGCACACAGGATTCCCAATAGCAGTTTTGGAGTGCAGATACAAGAAAAGATTGATACAGAAATATTTCCCTTTGACTTTTCCAGACAGATAAATCAGATAGTAGGAGAAAAAGGTATGGCAGTTTCCTGAGGGCATTCTGTTGATACACTTTGTAAGGCAGCAAAGAAGTAAAACTGGAGTGGCAGCAGATACTGACTACGTAAACACACAGACACACACACACACACACATATATATATATATATGAAAACCTTAGCACCACCTTACCTGTGGTTAAATTTGTGACCAAAGGAAACCCAGTCTTTTTCAATTAACACCTAAAATGAGAATATTATGTTCAGTGTTGTGGAGTAGAACTGACACATGTTGAAACGGGCAGGAGAATGGTGTAAACAAGCAGCATTGGAATCCCAACTAATTCTTAGAATAAGCAGTGGCAAGCAAAAATGATGTAAGTAATCAGTATTAGAATCCCAAATAATTTTCAGAACTAGCAGAAAAACAATGAGTGACGAGCCCTGCTGCAAGCTCACGGAAAGCAGCACTCTTCGTGGATGCAAATAGGATGCCAGTATTTCAGCACAACATCAATTAGCTTGTTTCATCACTTTCTAAAATAGAACTTATAAATGTCTCAAACATCTTTTTAACATGTGATCAGTAACTTGATAAGCATTCCTAGATGCTATATATATATATAAGCTGATATATATGGAAAAGGAAGATATTTTCCAACATAGCTGCTCATTGCAATCTAATGTTTAGAAAACACACACTTCTGACACTCAAATTTACAATGTTTACTGCAAATGAATGCAAATTCTTGCTTGCACAAAAGCTCCTTGGACTGCAAGAAGTTTCTTGGTCTAGGTTAGGAAAAAACCAAAAGGGTGCCCAACTGATCCCCACCTTTGATAACACTTCATACAGAAATTGGGAGACTTTAATGTGGACAGATAGAAACCTGCCTTCCTACTTAGAAAAAAAGGAAAAGGTGTATTTAAGGAAAGTTTATATTTCCCATTTCCCATTAAAAGATATTCGTCTAAAGTGATGCCATATTACTTCATTTACTCTGTGAAAGAACCCGCTTACCATGAATCCCTTCATAGTTCTGTAATATGGATCCAATAGAAGGCTTGCTACAGAGCAAACCTGGGCTGTCCTATCCCAGCCATCAGAGCAGTGAACAAGCACACTCACACCTTCCTCAGCCACAGCCTAAGGATACAGAAAAAGTCAGAAATTTCACGAGCAGGGAGGAAGACAATGGTAAGAGAGGAACAGTGAGACAGCGCCTTAGAGTATTAATATGGGAACTGGAAAACCTGGTTCATTTTTTGTTCTGCCACAGAGTTCTTGAAGAATGTTGAGTGTTACTCTTTTATTTGAAAAGTCTTAAGTCATCCCAGCCTGTGCAATATGGTGGTTGAGCATCACCTTTTTAAGCTCCACTATAGGAGGATGTGGGATTTGTTTCAATTAAATATATCAGTCTGTCAGAGCAGACAAGTACCTACAGCAGATTCAGATGGAGTTAATGCTCTAACTCACATACCAGTAACAGAATAGGTATCCTTGAAATATGGCTCTTAATTTCTCATCTTGATGGTAATGTCAATAAGGGCAATTTCTGCTTCCAATGCCAGCACTAGCCTGGATGTTATTTCAGTACACTGCATTGTACTGATGACATACTGCAAAGATTTGTGGGAAAACCTGTGGTAGTGGTAAACTTCCATATCTAGTAAGCAAGATTTTATCAGTATCTTTAATGTAAAAAGTAGTGAGAGAGGATCCCATTTTATAAATAAACACATAAAGAATAGGTGATACTAAGTTCTCCAGAGTCTGATGTTACATTATTTTTAGAACTTGAGGGTTGGTTGTTGGGGTTTTTTAAATTCTAAAGGTTTTGGCCTTTGTAATTTTTTAAGAGAACTAAATTTAGGAAGCAGAAAATAAAATAGGTTAGGAAAGATACTGCTTAGGAAAATAAACATTTAAGTTAAGTTTGGGCTTAATAGGGAATGAGGAATAATAATAAAGTATCTAAGTTTATCTCAAGAGACAAGTTAATTCTACCAAAATAGAAGCCCTGTGGGCAGAGGACCAAGAACTAAGAAGTGGGAACTGTACAAATAAGAATGGTTCAAAATCCATGTCTGAGGAGGCACAAGGCTAACAAGCATGTCGACAAAGGATAACATTTTCTGACAGAATTTTAAGACTAGCCACTGGGGAAAAGTTGGCAAAGCTAATGAAAGGTAGTAGGGCTGGGCGTCCTACTGAGTAGGAAGAAACAAGGCAAGAGAAACAAGCAGTTAGTGAGGAGGGAAATCCATGAAGTTTTATCTATACAGTTGTATGTAGGACATCATGTGAATAAAATGCCCTATAAGAAATTGTAATAGTAATCTCAAAAATAAAAACCAAAGCAGTAAAACACAGAGTACAAGGAAGGGAGGAATAAAATTAAAGCTACGGTTTATATTACTTGGGGTGGGATTAGGAGAAATAATTTCTTATTAAAGCCAACAACTCTTTTCTGGAATATTTCTCAAGTATATAAGAGTAGAAACTGCTAGTGAGTTTGGCCATGGCAATACACAGGAATTAGTCCAGGAGGTGAAATTAGTTGGCTGCCTGATAACTCAGAGAGGATAATACAGCAGTTAATTTTACATAATACCAGAAACCTTCAACAAAGAAAATGTCCAGAAACCAGTGGAGAAGGTAGGGGAAACAGAGAAAGAAACTGTAACAATCACTGCTGGGGAGTAAATTAAGGACATTCAAATGCCTGACACGACAAGTTAAGAGCTAGTAGAGGCTTTAGTACAAAAGGACACAAGCTTTTTTTACCATATTAGCAAAAGGTCCACACAACAGCATCTTAGAAACACCTCTCCTCATACATGAAGCATTGCAAGATGGGCTTTTTTTCAGGTATACCATCACTGAAGAGATAACAGAAGTTACCCACAAGCAGCGAATTTAGTCCTCACTTTCTGAGTCTAGTTACTGCAAGTTCTGTTCTCATTTTACAACTTTACCTTTGCAATAAAAATGCCAGCATCCATAATGGCTTTGATATGCTTCAGCCAGCCAGAATTTTCCAGGCCCCACAGAAAGTCGCTCATTGAAGGTGATTTCAGCTCACAAACTGCAAAATAAGCTATATTTTAAATGTACAGTAATTAGAGTCCCTTAAGCTTCGCTGACTGTTCAGCCTCAGAGTTATCTCTTCTTCAGATATCCCCTGTGTAAAACATGCATCTTTTCAAAAGAATGACTACTTCACAGTCAAACTTCACCACTGATAAAGCACATATACTTAAGAAACAGGGCTCGGTCAAATGCCACCCAATATGTTGATTTCAGTTAAAAAGAGAAGCTGTCATAATATCTATTGCAGACAGTTTACAAAAGGCATCCTTTTGTGAACCATGGATTTTCCAAAATTGTGTTGGGAGTGAAGTTTTCAAACCCCTGGGAGGGGCTTGTGTATTTAATAATGAGGGCATGGAAACAGAAAGCACATGATTTCTGCTGGGAGACACGCAGACACCCACCTAAATGGTGCCACTGCCTCCTGCTCCCAGCATCACCACAGATGATGGTGGTTGAATTAAAGCGATTCACTCTACATGTCTGCATCCCTGAATGAAAGCTTACTAAAGCTTCACTTGGAGTCAGAAAGTATTCTGATGGTGAGGACATAATTCATCAAGGAAAATATTTTCCTGAAAACCTTCCAAATTCTATGCCATGTTTGAAGGAAAAAAATTATAATCTCTCAGTTTTTACTTTAAGTTTAGGTTTGGCTGTATCCAAGCGTCAAATTTTTAATAATAGAGAGTTTTTGCCATTAAAAGAAAAAAAGGGCAATCAGAATCTAAATCAGATAACTCAACCCAGCAGCAAACAAATACTCAATGAAATTTGGTGCCATCTATTTCCAACAGTGAGATACTAAATTCACCCCATAAATAGACTATACCTTTCTTTTGATTGATGTAGGGTTATACTGTCTTTTAAGGAAAAAATATTAGCCAGTGAAATTCATTTTCAGAATACAGTGAAAAGTGTCATGGTTTTTACTGAATTAATGTATGGTCTGTCAATAACTAGTATCTTAGTAAGTCTCTTCTGGTCCAGATGTCTTAAAAGACTCAGTTATTTATGGTCGCTGTGATAATTTTAGTTTCTTTTGTTGTAACTGAAATTTAATGTTATAAGCCAAAGTCAGAGTTTATACCATACCTGGGCTATCCGAGTGTCCTAACTCAATTTAATTAAAAAATAAAATGGCCTAACGTATCCATAAAAAGTCTTACAATGTTTGTATGTAAGACTTTTTCCAGATGGTTATTTTAAAAATCATTTTTGAGCGATATTTATAAAGATGCAGAGGTAGCAGCACTGAAAGCAAACAGCTTTTCACATGATTAATGCTCCTGTGCAGATGGAAGCATGACCACTTAGTGGCTGAATTCTGGCTGAAGCTGCTGTCTCTGTTTACAAAAGTCCAAAATAAGGCTGAAACAGTGCTTTGCTCCTTCCCACTACCAGTTAGAGTCAATATTTACTGACCACTTCACTGAGCAAAGTTCAGACTGTCCTAAAGGCATACACTGTATATTTCACATGATTTTGGCAACTGATCTGGCCCTTCAATACCGAGTTCAATTATGAATTCAATTATGAGGCTTATCCTAAGGGAAAAGGCATTTCCATCTCAGACGAAAAGATACCAAAACTGTTGAGAATTAAGGCCTGGTGCATCCACAGTGTGGGCACAGGAAAATTAAGAGCCATTGGGCAGAGCTCTGAGAAATCCAGCAGTGTCCCCATTTCACAAGAAGGGATGAGGAAACAGGACACATGTTGGAAACTGCCTCTTCCACCAGCAAAAGTACCACAGGGGATGCTGGACCAGCTCCCTCATTGCTGGCAGGAAGGCCATAAGTAGAGGAAGGAATAATTGCTGTGAGCCAAACTCTCAGGCATTCTTTTACTGGCTGATCTGTCACTGAAGTCCAAGGATCAGAGGGCTGCTCCTACATCAGCAACAACTGCTCCTGGTACGAGGGGAGGAGAAGCTCACCTTTACTGTTTACAGACAGGGAGCATGTGGGGTCAGCACCTCAATGCACAATGAATGGGGGCCAAGTCTTGGCTGGCCCCTGGATGTGCAGCACAGCCCACCCCATCACAAATGCCAAATAGCAGCCTCACTCAGCCCCTGAATCTTTACTAAGAAAAGTCCTTCTGTAACATGTCCTTCTAATACTAAATTGTGCAAAGGATAAAAACTGTCCCAGGGATCCTCACATACACCTCTCTTTAAATGGAAAAAAAATTAAAAGTCCATCCTATTCTAAAGCAATATGAGGCAACAGAGAAAAAACTAAAATCTTCTTTTTCCAAAAGGAAATGCATTTTACTTCCAGAGTACAGCCTAATTTCAACATTTTTTGTATATTCTGAAAAAAAAAAATTATCCTAAAAATTGAATCGTTTTATAATGCTGATATAATTTCCCAAAAATTAACATGTTACAAGGGTAAATACATGTTCAAGTTAAGATAAAATTGCTAGAATTGAAGTCAGTAAAATAAAGCTGAAAGAAATATTTTTTACCTACTTAAAGAAAATATTGATGTTTTTATAAGTATAAATTAATTTCTTCAGCTTTTTCCTAAAGAAACATCATTGAAATTAACTCAGTCCTAATATAAGTGCATTTTCCAATGGAAAACTGAATAATAAATTTTGTTCAAATGTTCTCAGCATTGAAATTCTTTAAAATTATATATTGAATACATCATAGATATCTGCACTCTGTCATATGAAGATCCTCCAACTTCACTCCTGCTAAGTATCAGTAAGTTGAATGAAACTGATCTGACCAATTATGTCTTGATGTCCTCTTTCCCATGCTGTACACTTCCAAGCAACAATACAGCTCACGTTAAACTAAAATCAGTTTTCATGAGCTTCATTTGTCTTTTCAAAGGTTGTTATGTACCTCATAAAATATTACTACAGATCAGGAGAAGCAGACCCATTCTGTAATGTTTATAGTGGTGTTGTGCGATGTTTTACCTTAGAGATTCACCTGGGTACAGTGATATTGATATTTTATTTTATTGTGGTTTTTTTTAACTCTTTATAATTTTTTTTATCTTTATAATATATCAATAATGGATAAATATTGATATATTATCAAGGTATTCCTTCATTAAAATTTAAAACCATATTAAATGTGTGTTATCATCATCCTTGACAGCCTTTTGGTTCTAGGTCTCTTTGTATGCTCAGGTCAGGTAATAAGTATCTTCTTAAAGGCCCCCAGAGAAACAGATTAAGGGACAGATACAAATGGAAAAAGAGAAAAACTACACAGCATCTTAACAAGAAAAGTTCTGGTGCACTGAAAGTTTCAAGATTTTTTTTTACTTCTCTGATTTCTAATCTTATCAGTCAAGTTGCTAAATATGAGATTTCAACATAGCAAATACAAAACCTAAGAGAAAGGCAAATGTTTTGAGCATACGGCTCATTTGAAAATAGATGCAAAGAATGTATGCACCCCAAGCAGCCTGAAGGGTTAAATGCATTAGAAATTACCTTGTTGCATGCAAGTTTGGGCCATGGGCTGGTCTCATGAACTTTTGGCTCAAAAATTATACACAGTACTGCCCCATGCAGCCAGGCTGGTTGTGTACTATTTTATCTTTGGTCTTCATCTGAATAAATAAAGGGACCTGTTCATTCCAGCCTTCTCTCCTAGCCAAACAAGACTTCCTAGTGAACTAAAAATCCTTCTGTTTTCCTACCTGAGACCCTTAGAACAAGGAATGAAGTAAAAATATGTCATGAAGAGAGTGACCATTTTACCTGCATCACACTTTAATGCTGGTTTTCATAAAATGCTCTTATTGTAAACTAGAGCACAGCTTTCCTGTCATGAAAAATTTAAACCCTTCTTAGATCTCCAATTTACATTTGCATACGGTCGATGGGAGACAGATGAAGAACAAAAGAGCATGGGCAGAGCATCAAGTCAAGAATAGCTAAACCAGGCTGATCTGGGAGGTGATGGAAGTTGTTGATGTCGTACATGAAGGAGATTCTGAGACACTGTGGAGTGAGCACTATTTACAATTTGCTTATCAAAAATCAACAAGCTGTTGAGGGGCAAGGATGGTTTATTCATCCTTACTCTTTTCCCAGATGACCTCTAAACAGTCATGCACTCCAATTATGAAACAGAAGAACAGATGTGCTGGTTTACATACTGCTAAGTATTTATAAAGTAATTATTACTAATTTGCATGGGATTATGAAGGTGCTGAATGGTTATGTCCATTAATTATGAATTTCATGAATAGACCTGATGTGTCATATTCTATACCGGGTATGAAAAAGTCTCTATTAAAATTCAGAGTCTAAAATGCATGACTGCCTTCTACACATGCAAAAATCAACCCATAGTTTTTCTAAGCTTTAAAATAAAAATCCTGTATTTTCCATTGGCCTCAAAGTCAGTTGTAAGTGATTTTTCTCATTTTACTATCACAGTGTAAATTTCAAGAAAAAGATATAGTAGCAATAAGGTGCACTGAAGTCAAAGGAATTTTGTCACTTAAGTAATCTGGATTTCAGCCACAAAACAAGATGTTTATACAATTAGGAAATCACCACTAGCTGCCATGATGCTCCATTGTCCAAGTCCCAGTAGCAGTTGCATGCAGCTGCAACAGGCAAAGATTTCTTTTCACACCCGTTTTCACTGCTGCTGATTTCAGAGCAGTTATCCTGGATCAATTCCTTCCTCTAGTTTCCAATGAAGAAGAGTATTACCTTCAAGCATTTTCTGCAGACTATTTCTCATGACATGGACGTTCTCAATGCCTATGAATTGAAACTTGATGTTGGAGTAGTTGTCTTCATTTTCATATCCCTTCCCTGCTGCTCTGTTTGCCATTGCATTGAGCTGAAAAACATATGGAAAACTGGATGAAAACCAGTAGCAATTTATTTTCAAAACAAAGCTTGTGGTCTACAGCAATAAATCAGAGTGATTTAAGTCAGGCAAACATTTATCACCGTGTCAACACAACGGGTCATGAATCAGGGATCTGTCTACAGGTTATTGCAGGGTGCTGAGTTGCTGAGTTTCTGATATCCCAATTTCACAGCTTTTGAGTGAACTTTAGTGAGGGTAAACACAAAAAACACAGCTTAGGTAGGGTTCCTCTGCAAGAGCATAAAGGTTTTAATTTGGTTTTAAAAGCCTACTTTGATTTTATATTAGAGCAGCATTATGCTTACTAGCAGAATATACCCAGGAGGTGGCAGTGTCTCATCTGCCATGCCAATGTTTCAGAGCATGTGTACACTGTAATGCTGCCAAAGTTACTGTGTTTTACTACTCAAATCATCCAAAAGTTGATAGAGTTTACTTCTTTGATGCTTGGAATAAAGAGAGCAGTTTTTCCTCATTTTATAATATCTTGGCTCGAGCTGTGTAAGACCACAAAATATTTGAATTGACAAAATTACCACAGATATTTTCATTGGTAATGTGGTGCTATCAAATAAGTTGCTGTGCTTCAGCAAAAAAATACATTCAGCTGGAAGCTGAAGTTTTTGTCTTTGAATCTGTTACTTGTTTCCTGACATGGAAAAGTCACAAAACCCTTCTTTAGTTCATTTCTCCCCATCATAAAATTAAGGGTGTTTTAATGCTTATTTCCCCCCACCCCACCCCCCTTTTGAGATCCTTCGGTGGAAAAGATAAGCTCCTTATGCCAAATTTTGATCTTTGGGCTGAAAACTCATGCTGATAGAAATTAATTAAGTACTTTCACTTTATTACCCCATCTACTTTTTTTAATTTCCTATAGCAAAACGTCACTGTGCAATAGAAAGAAATTGTCTTTTTGCATAAAGTCCCTGCTCTTCTATGAGATCCATGCTGTAAGGCTGGGGAGCCTTTGAACTTCCCAAGAAATATGAAGGCTCCAGGAGTGACAAAGCAGTCCAAATGGCAGGACCTCCATGCCTCCAAGCACAACTAACAGCTTCTGCACAGGAAAGACTTGAGAAATAAATAACAAAGGATATTGCACATCCAGACTGGAGGGCACTAACAGAGCTTTTGGAAAGACTTCATGAGGCATCAGTTCTACTCAGTGACTCATCTTCATTTCAGTGAGAGCCAATGCTCATGAAAAAATCAAAACAAAGTATCTTTTAGGCATTGCCTAAGGGACAATCGGCTATGCCGATTAACTCCATTTCCAGTTTATTTCCCAATATCGCAGGCAGTACTATTGATTGGCTGCTTCTGTGGTCACTTCTGAAACTCACAATAATATGCTTCACTACTTGACTAATGGCATCATGGAACACACAAGAATGTCTCTTTTCCTGACCTCTACCACCCCAAATACACATATGCCTGATATCCTGGTTTAATTTGGAGCCACTGAATGCAACTGAGGATTCATTGTCTGCTGCCAACTTTCCTCCAACCAAGATGAACAAGCCTAGCTTTTTTACATCGTATGTTAAAATAGGTTTCCAAGGACCAAACTTAATATCTTAACTTTCAGAGGAAACAGATAAAAAGTTACATTTGTGGACCACCATTAGGAATTGAAACATTGCATGAATTTCATGATACAACAGAAGGAACCACACTCTAAGATAGGAACTTAGGCAAAACACTACCATTTTTTATTTATTCAAATCTTGGGTAAAACTTCTTTTAACTTGTAGTATGCAGTTCAGGAAAAAGTGCAGGCAAAAAAACCCCATTCTTGTCTATCAACCAGCAGTCTGCTGATGTTTTGACTATCAATGAACAATTAAAAAAAAAGATACAGCCTGTGAACAGCATGTCAATTAAGGACAGAGTCCTCAGTGTGACTTGCTAGAAAGATATAAATTATCTGCTGAATCCTAATCTTTCTCTTTTGAAGTAGACATCGGTGTTCTTGTACAAACAAAATGAAGTAATCTCTCTCTGCAATAGCCTTATAGCTTCAGGAAGAAAGATCTGTACGCACGAGTCTACGCCAGCACAACCCCCTGAAATCCTAAAGAAAAAACAGCTATCCTCTATCTGACCTAATCCTCAGTACGTAAATACTATTAACTGTTTCTGCAGCAGAGCAGTTTTATCACAGAAATTCTTAAGAGAAAATCTGAAATAGCCCTCTTTCAAAGTAAATAAATATAAGGTTAAATTTTCAAGGCTTTCTGACACTCATTTATTTTAAATACTATCAGTTGCCAAACTTTGCAGCTGCCACAATATTTACTAACAAGCTTTCCACATCATCTACCAAAATTCCATCTGTTGCTCTTAAAGCAGTTGTTGTGAAGTACTCTAAATTGTGCCTGTCCTCAATCTCAGTGAATACGAGGATACAACTTCTAAGGTAACAGACCCCACTTGCAAGATTTCCTGGCATTTTCTTTAATTTGAAGAATAACCAAGTTGTGTCTTGTTATGAAAAGTATATAACTAATGTGTTTTACCTATAAACAGTAAGTTTGTATGAACTTCTTCTGGAATCACATAGAGGAAGGACAGTGGCCTAAATAAAGTTCTGCGTTTGGTCATCCTGGTATATTTAAATGAAGTGGAAAAAAAACTTTTTTGCAGGGCCAAATCTTTTGTTTTGAAGATTGCACCAAGTGCAATGAGGGATGGCATATGAAGAGCACTTGGGAACGTTCAGTTGAAGGACCACCAATATTCACAATCTTTGCAAAGAACTAGTTCTGATGAGGAAAGAGGAAAATAGTTTTTTGGCCTTCTGCGGCAATGGAGCAGCCTTGTACCAGACTCAATATCTTAGCTTTACATTTGCTAAAGGTTCCTTGAGGAATGCCAGGAACCTCTTCCAGTGATACCTATCGCTTCCTTTAAGCCCTAGATTTATAAATGCATCAGCAGGTGCAAAATTGAAACAAGGCTGTGTCTGGCACCTGGGATCACACGAGCTTTAGGAGATCAGTCCATTTTTGCAATGCAGAGATATAGGAATCCAGTATACAAATTTCTTTACATCAAAACCTTTTTTTACAGAAAAGTTCAGTGAAAACAAATAGTCTTCATCTCCTGACTGGCTCAGGAGCCAGCATTGCTGGAAATATGCTGGCATTCATGGCTAAGCAAGCCAATTCCACTCTCTCCACAGTCTCCAAAAAGTACAGGCTTTTTTCACTGCACACAGAAGGTGTCTCAAAGTCATTTATCAGAAAAGCTTACAGGAAAGCTTCTGTTCATACATTGTAAAACATTATTAACAGCCAAGTCAGTAAGTCGTTAGCAATAAATCCCATCAGTCAAAGACTGCCTTAGACAGGAAAGAGCACCAATATCATCAGACAGGAAACAAGCTGTAACTATTATTACATCTAGAAAACTGTTAAACAAGCATTATTTAGGCAGCTAGCTCTGTACTTCATATCTAAAGCCTGTTCTGAACAGAATGGTATACCAATCCTTTCCTAGAGCTCATCACTATCCTCTTGCTTCAGGACCACAAGTAAGGTGGTACCATCCTCATTTTCCAAATAAAAAGGAGGGAACTGAAGCTCAAATCAGTCTCCAGCTAACAGTCCTCTGTGTGACTTGGGTCAATGAGACAGGCCAAGGCCCTGATTTTCTGGTTCCTGTCTCCATTACAGTTGTGAGCACTCAGCACCTTTCCTCCAGCCCCCATGTCTTCAGGCAGTCACCAACCAAGCAGGTTCATTTTTTCTGCTCCAGCTCTGCCACAGTTGCCCTTCCTCACTCCATTCCTCATCTTTCTCAGCTTTACCCACCTTGCCTTTTCAGAGTCTGTCTCCTGATCTCAGGATAATGAAACAGCTTTCTTTTTCCTTTTCCTCAAACCTTTGCTCTCATTTTTCCTTTTCCCATGCTACAACTCATCTATGAGGGATTTTGTGGAGATTTGCCCTGTTCGTCTCTTTTCTTCAGATGCTTTGGTCACTTCAACAGGGAAGTTGCTGATAGTGTAAGAAAGAACATATCCCTGTTCCCACCTCCAGATAGTGAAGTCTATCTAGTCTTCATCACCTTGAGCTGTTTGTTAGCATGACAATTTGGACAAAATGGTTTTTTAGCTTCTAACCTCTTCTAGATCATTACTGAGTTTCTATATTTCTGTACAGCATATTTTTTTCTAAAGCTTTTATCTTGGCCAGAGATTTTTAGTCAGTTATAGACATATGGTATCTGAGATCACTATTTACCAAATTTCAGATTCTCTCTCAAAACCACAAAATTGCTGGAGATATTCAAAAAAGTCTCCTCCATTCTTGTAACTTCAGTAACTGGGCTTTCCTTTGTCTTTATGCAGAGGTCATTGACATTTTGCCACTTGCATGGAAAATTTTAGTATAAGCAGGCAGAGGTTTGCAACACTACGAACAACTGTAAAAACATTTTTTTACGGGAATTGAATTTTGCTAGTCTCATCAGAAATATAGTTACTGATAGCTCTTATGCATGTGTAAATAGATACAACTAGAAGTTATTTACTTTTCTGTATCTTTAACATTTCGCTAAGAACAAAAGAAGAGAAAAGCTCAGTGTGAAGGAAAAAAATTCCCCTAGAGATAACAATGCTGGCAAGGTTCCCAGCTAAGATTCCCCTGATAAATCCTGATGTACCTGTGGAGTTACACAGGTGCAACTCAGTCTTGCTATATGCAAGAAATCTAACACACTTACTTTGGGCCGAGTGTCAACAACGTATATGAAATCACTTCCTGGATTTGCTTTTCTAATGGCCTGGAGCATCTGTTCGTCCTCAAGGCACCGAGCACTAAAGCCAGATAAAGGCTGGCTGCTTCTACATATGGAGGCCTGCAGAAAAACAGACAAACAAAAAACCCAACATTATCATTAAGTAGAAATTATTTAGCGTCCAGAAGCATTTGCAAAACCATTTGTTTGCACAGGTGCGCAGTTACATGAGAAGGGCAGAATGGTAAAATTAATTACATGTTAATAAATATATTATTTTTAAAAAGACAAGGAAATATTAAAACAATACAATCCCATTGGCCCAAGTCTAGTCTTCAATCCAAGTTTTAGAGTTATTTGAAATATAGTATTTGCCTAAAGTGGAATAACTCCTGAAAGGTGATATCTTGAGGATGAATACAGCATTGCAATCACAAGAACGGAGACACAACATAAAGAGTAGGTTCTTTTGCACTGTCACTCACACTTACCAGGTATGATACTGACTACACCCAACATACACCAATGCCTGCTTTACTAAACAGCCTGACACCATGAATCAAGGAAACAAAAACTTGTAACATGCAGAGAGATCACTGATGGATGTATATTTTTAGCACTGTCTCTGGAGAAAGACTTTACTGCATAAGAAGCGGGTCAGGCAGCCTGACTCCTGGAGTACATTCATTAATCATGGCTATTGAAGGAGGCAAGAGAGCTTCTCTACAGACCCATCAGGATCAGACCTCCAGATGAAACCAGGAAAGAAGGAACTAAATGTGAAATAGGTGAGCAGGGAGACTTTCATTTTTCCTATGCAGAGGGCACCTAGGTTTGTAGAAGGCAAGGGGCTAATATATGCACTTTCTAAACACTGAACACAAGCATGAACAGAATCTGCCTGCTGAAGGTCACAACTCATGCAGACTGCCCTACAGATTATTTATTACTGTGAGAAAGGACATGCTTTTTTTCAGTCACGTCTTCGAACTGTCAGTAGTTAGTAAGTAAAATATGGATCTTTAAGACAGAAACCCTGAATTGTGTGAGAGCCTGTTCCTACTTTACTAACAGTTTTCGCAAACAGGTTATTAGTTATGCAGTCTTGCCTCCTGATCAGCACAAATCCCAGCAATTTAATAGATGTTATACCACTTTTATCAGGACAAAAGAGCTATGGGAAAGTTATGTATATGAAAGACTGAATGAATGGTACATGTCTCTCTCTGCACACAGCACACCTCTTCCTAACCTGCTGTGAGCATCATAAATCTTATCCCTCCCCTGTCCATTACTTTATTAGCTGGTAACTTCCAAACTCACAAGGAGCTATTTCCTTCAACATTGTTTTCCCCAGCTCTCTGAACCATGAAGGATCCACAAGCAAACACAGTACTTCAGATCCTGGTAGTGTGAACCTTAACGTGGACTCCAACCGTAACAGGGAAAACATTCAGGCTGAAACCATGAAACTCATCCAATCACCATATACTGGAATCTAGCTGACCCCTGAGACCTTTTCTTTCACTGAGACTTGGAAATGTCCAAGTGTTTTGAATCCTAGATATCTATATTTGAACATAGTTGATTATGCAAAGTGATTAACTCTGCAAAATTTGGCCTTAACAAAATGTTTAAAAAAATATGCAATTTATGCAGAGATTGTATCTACTATTCAAATCTTCCTATCCTCCACTTTTGTTGTAAAATTCATAGATCTTTATGGAAGCAATATTCTGATAAAATTCAGGGTAAAGAAGGAGTGAAAATAATGTCTTATCACTTCTTTCTGAGGCTTAAACCTATGATAGCGGCCGAAAGATTTCCGTGGAGATTGTAGCTTATGATTTGTGCTTATTACATTCTACCTCCCATCCTGCATGGCAAAATCTAGAGGTGCCCTGTAATCTCAGAGTAGCTCTGTCTCTTGGGAGGTCCTACCTGTTCCCCGCACTATGGAAGACCTCTCAGTGCAGTTGCCACTCTGGGACTGAAACTGGAGTCACACAGATCCTCTGAGAGTACAAAAGGGACACCATTGGCCTAACTAGTAATGATAGTTGAGCTAAGTCAGTCTCTAAGGGGCTGGAACACAAATGTAAAAACACGCAGTCCATGGGATCCTGCAGTCCTTTACCTCAGCTGCCAGAACAAAGAAATGCAAACAGCCAAGGTCAGGTTTTTTTCCAAAAGGTTACAGACAAGTGAGGCAGTTCCTTGAGACATATTCCCTGAGAATATGTGTTATGAAGCAGAGAAGATGGCACTCCTCACTACTGCAGGCAAGGAGATGACTCTTCAACAAACTCACAACATGCTGCTCAGCCAGCACTTGATAGCTCTTTCATCCATCTTTTTTGGGTCTCTTCACAGATGTTTTCTTGGAAAGCTACTCCCGATTCTCTAATAGCATAGTTTTTAACCTCCTCAACTCAGCCTGCAGCTATGAGATCCAAAATTGCTCTGTTCTCCTCCTAATCACCTGTTAAGCTGCCTGCTACTGGCCTTCACTTTTCTGCCACTCAAGTTTCTGGGCCTCTTGCACTACTCCACTTTCTTATGATACAGGGATCATATTTTTTTGTGTTAGCTGGATGTTGCAGCTGGGTTTAAATGAATGCATTAAATACCTACTAAAGCCTACTAATGAACTAACCACACTAACCAGGCTACAGTAATCATTTTTTAAAATTAAATAATCGCAGATTTCTTCTTGTAAAACCTTACTAGAAGAATTACAACACCTAGGCCAAAATAAGCAAACACCTCAAAGCTTCAAAATCGCACTTACATTGTTATCCTTGTAGTAGTAGGAAAGAGCAGGGAAACGCCTCCGGCTTCGAAATTTAGAACTCCCCACTATGATGTGCGCAGTTGCAGATTTTGGTACATACACTTCCGTAGGATAGGAGTCACAGACCTGTGAAAGGAAACTGCTTATTTGGTCTACAAAGTACAAGTAACATTAGCCATCTCCATAGCAAAAAGAAAATACCAAGGAACTCAAATCTTGGGAAATGGTCCATCATTATTGTATACACATCACTGACATTTATCAAAACAGTCTTTTGAAGCTGGAAAGTATTAATCCTAACTTACAGATGGAAAAACTGAAGCAGAAGGGTCGAAGGGCTGTATTTCCAAATGTTGATTCATGCCTTGTTGAGAACATACAGGTTTAACATACATTCATACCAGAAAAGATCTATCATGATGTACAGCTAGGTTGTAGTTTACAACTGGAGTTTCCTCTGTAGCACAATTTGGGAGTAAGGATGGGAGTGGGCGAAGTTCTCAAACACCCTGTTATAGTGGGAGACAACTATAGAGCCAAATTTTCCAGCAAATCTGATAATAATAATAAAAAAATAAAGATAAAAATAGGGACTCGGAGAAAAGAAATTAAACCACATGAAATGAGGATACCACAAGACAAGCAGCCCTGACAATGTCTACCACTTCTGAGAGCAACCCTATGAAGCCTGCAAAAAAAGCCCCAAAGTCCTTCTGGAAACAAGTGGGACCACACATGAGGCCCTCTTTTAACTTCCTTGATCTGATACTGCCTGTAACATTCTGACTGGGGTCAAAAGGATACCCAGTATCTTCCTGTGACTTTCTGAGAGGACTACAGAAATGAGAATGCCAAGGAAAAAATTATTTTCTGAGACAGAGATATGTAATGAAGGAGAAAGGAAAGTTATGGCTTGTGGTTACAGATGCTGCTGTGGTGAACTGGATTTTATTCATGATGCCATTTTTCCTACACTTTATCTTAGAAGAGGTCAAACAATTTTTTCCACTTCTTTTAACAAAAAGAAAACAAATACTGACAGCACATTTAGTCTTCTCTGAGAACTTCACAGACCTTCCTTAATATGGATGTGCTCCAGCAACAGAGCCAATGGAGTACATGGACAAACTTCCTTCAAAAATACTTTGGTTTGTATGTCTCACAATTAATTAACATTCTAGGGTCTTCAGTTGTACAAGACTGAATGAGGCAGGACAGCAGGCAGCTAGGAAGATATATGACCTCCCAGATGACTGTGAAAACACTAACACTCAATGACAGAGGTTTCAAAAGGAGTGTGGGAATAGCCAGTGAGGAAAAAATATTGCTAAGTTCACTATTTTGAGCAATTTTTTTTTCATAAAATGACTGTGTAGTAATTTTATATAGCCCTACATGTCAGGAAAAATCTTGTTCAGACACATAACATTAGGTATGATTTAAACTTCTTTCCAGGCAGCCGAACTCTAACATTTAAAACACTGTTTTCTGTGCTTCATTTCCACACCTGTTTTTCTCACTGGCTATGTGCCATTTTATGTGAAAATGTGGAGGAACTGCACCTTGCGACATGTATGTACAGAACTCAGCACAAAGGGATCCTGCAACTAAGTACCATGGTAGTCCACAGTCAGGCTGCTGATTCGTTTTACAAAGAGCCTCTGTAATAGAAAAATCACAACTCACTCCGTAGTCTCTGTTTACGTCACAAATCTGCCAATAGTTGTTTGGAACACCCATCCGATTATATTCTAGATTGAGGTCCACAAGCTTCCAGCCTTGTTCTCGTTCTTCTTTATCTAATTTTGGATTGAATGAGAAGCAATACAGCTCTTCATACTTCACTGGGAAAAAAAAAAAAAAAGCAAACAAACAAAAACCATTTCAGTAAACCGTTTCAGATTTCTCATCCTGAAATCACACTTCAAAACCAGAACTTGGTGTTGGCTTTGATGCAGTTTCTTTTAAACCAGTGTGCTTTGCTTTACAAAAGCACATGTCCTGGTTTATATCTACTGTCAAGTAAACTTTGAAAGTACTGTGCTCTTTTGATATTTGTATATGTTGAAATAGAAGTGCTACTACAAATATACTGTTCTGCTAAACTTCAGAAGAATTGTAAAGGTGTCTCCCAGCACAAAGACAAAATGCCAGCGATATGCTTTCATCCAAAGAAAACTGCAGTCAGTGCCAGAGTAAGCACTTGTTCTGCAAAAGAATTTACTGTCCACTAGTTCAGAAGTCCCTTTATTAACGTAACATCTGTCCCGTGGCAAAGACAAAAGATGTGAATAGTGGACTATGCAGCACAATCTTACCAAAATGAACTAACTCAGTAGTCTTTGTCCCTAATTAGGAAGGTTTCCAACAGATTCAATGAAATCTGTTTTTGTGGAGTGCAAAATTCTGTCCCTGAATTCTTACCAAAGGCATTCAAGACACAGGTGACGTAATAGCATAAAAAAAGCATATGCTGTGTCGATCATTTTATCATGACCATGAAATTGTTTAGGTAGCTATGCCACCCGTCCCTGTCGATCAAGGACCATATAGGAAAGTTTGATGGTGCTTAAGTTTTTTACTTTTTTGAGGAATATATCTGTATTTATGCTAATTAGTGTCTTAATCCTGGTGACCAGTGGCAGCCAGACACCATTGCCATTTAATGCCAACTGTTACTGACATGAGTAACTGTTCAGCATACAATTTGAAATTCACGTTTTCATTGATATTTAAGATATTCTGTCACAAGAGTGTGTTTCATTCCGTTGCTCTGAGTTCCTTAAAGCTTTCTGACCAATAGGCTTTTATCTTTAGAACTGAGGTAAAATGATCACAAGCTGAGTCCTCTGTGATTTCACAGTTCTCCACTGATACACCTCCTCTACAATATCATTTTAGGGAGATCAGTAAACTTAAATACTACACTTTCTTTTCTAATAATATATAGCTAATAAGCAGAGTCTTAGAACACTACAGTGTTCTGTACTGTACAGAATAGAGAGGTATAAAAATAATAACCCCCATATTAATAATAACAAGGTTCCCACCTTTCTCTATAGAAAGTCTTTACTTGTATTTTGATTATGTCTTCTAAAGGCTTATTTTAAATTCCATTTCGCCTTTTTAAATTTCATTTAATTTGTTCTATACACACATATACAAAAGTATGAACATAAGGAAAGAAAACTTCATGTTAAGTCTGTCAGGACTGTACAGAAAGTGAACAAAGTCTTGAGCAGGGAAAAAGAAAAGAATGATTTCCAAATTGTCCAACAATTTAAACTCTTTCTGTATTCTCTAATTTCAACCTTGTCATGGCACAGATGAGGAAGACAGTCAGGTTTATTTCTCATCTAGCAACACAAAGTTTTAGCATAATCCATAAATCCAATCTGAGCTCTTTTTAATAAAGTGCTTTTGGTAGCAATCTGAGCTCTTGTTTTCACTGCTTCGCTGTCAGAAGCATCTGGATTTTTTTCCCAATGGACCTGTTCACAGGCACATGGGACCCTTTTAAAAATTCACCTATTAAAATATATCCAGGTTACTTATGACTGAAGTCTGCCTCAATGTTAAAAGTATCATTACATGATGGTATCTATAGGTGGTATCAAAAATTTTCAAGTATTAGTAGCAGTGCCTTAAAGCTCGGTCACCACCCCTTGGCCAGTACTTATAGGACCTTTCCTAATCTTTCACAGTTATTTTGCCATAAGCATGTAATAACTCTTTACAGTCAGCTTGTTTCAAAAAATGGCTTAATTAAGCAAAAAGGCCAAATTCAGCTGACAGATTGATCTTAGTAAAATTCTAGTAAAAATAAAATTCTAGCATAAAATTCACCTTTAACATAACTAGGACATCAGATAGCACAGAGCATGTTAAGCCAATACACAACATGTGCTTCACTCAGGCTTCACTGTGGCTTCATGAATGAAAAGTAGAGCCTGAGTCCCATTTTCTCCTCATGGAGTAAAGGGTACCTTCTAATGCTGAGTAACTGTATTACCTAAAGAAAGTACAGCTTCATGCCCAGACAAAACAACACAGCAGAGAACTGTCAGGGTACATATGGCTCAGCTTGTAATCAGAGCCTTCTAATTTTAAGTAAGCAAGCAGAATTTTATCCTTCCTCACATCAAGACTGGATGGTTTGTTGGAGAAGGAAAACTACTGTGCAGCTGAACTATTCAAAGAGCTAATTCTACAATGCTGTTTTTCCATCTTCTTTACTCAAACCTTCTTGTCCATTGCAGTCTGACACTGAACTTGTATTCAGGGTCCATAGCTCCCCTTCTGTCTGCCTGTTCTGGTGCATAGAAGCATGCACAGCTCCTCCAGCCTCCAGGGAAAGAGCATTCCAGAACTGCATTCCTTCCAGCATGCATGAACACGTGCTTGCAAGCTGAGGTCCGTGGAATGAATCTAGACTTATATCAGCACAACCACTGACTGGATCTGCCTCAAAATTTTTCTGATTACTTTCATCCAGCATCATCTAACATACCAAGTTACTTCTGCTACAGTTGTATATTACTACTACTACTCCTACTACCCTAATTATAGAAAGTACTTTATAGTTCAGTAGCTGCATTGGGTGACTGTGCAGTTTTTCCCTCTCTATACAGTAGATGAAATTGGTGTTCTCCTAGCAAGATAAAAATTAAGCCAGTGTTATCAGCTTTGTACAGAGTATGGTAGACAATTTCTTCACATCCTATTAAAATAGTAGTAAGGGACAAAAGTTGGTGTTGTATTTCTACAGTTTAAATTTTAAAAATAAGCAAGCCCTTGTCAGCTGGTACTTGGAAGAGTGTAATGCAGAGAGGAGCTATAATGTAGGCGATCAGATGTTGGACTTTGATGCAACATTTGGATTTTCACTGAAAAGAGGAAAGGTTTCAAAAGTATCCTAAACTGAATTCAGAAATTCAAACACGGCACATTCAAAATGTAGTTAATAATAGACAAAAACATGGGCAGTCCGCTGGAATAAACCAACTACTTGCTGCAAAACCTTTCACTGATTTTAAGAAATTTATGCGCAGTACAGAAAGTCAAAATTCAAATCCTGACAAGACCAGTAAATATATTGTAAGGGTTTTGTCACAGAAGGGACACAAAAGTTCCCTGGATTTAAAGTATTTTCCTAAATTCACACTTACACAAAGCAGCCAGTAAACAACAGCTGCATGTAAAACAGCATTATAATATAATTTATGGCCCATAGAGTATTATTTTAAACAAGGTTCATGTCATATTTTATGGAACAAACTATTTCTTATAATGTGCTTTCTTCATTGCTCCATAAGTGCTCCAAAAGTATTTCTTTCATAACACACCGCTAATGAAAGTTTTTTCTTAACCTGCAAAGGACAAAGACACACAGATACATTTCTTCCATTATATTCTCCCTCTTCAGGATGCAGATTACTTTTTGTGCTGTGTCCTTCCCATACCTGGCCGTGCCAGACGTATCAGAGATATGTAAACATCATGGCAGTCTCGTTCCTGAGGGATGACCAGCTGGATGACCTGGAAGTTCTTGCAGCGGATCAGCAATGGGCAACCAGTGGCAGTGGTGGCCTGCTTCTCAATAGAGGAAATTTGGCTGTGGAGAACCTGTAAGGGAATTGAAAATTGTTACACCAATCAAATCTTTAGGAAGAAAAATAATTATTTAAAATTATGTGCCAGGGCAGGCACAGTGGCTTCCACTACTGTTTCACAAAACCCCCTACACTTCTCCTCTTGTAGTTTGGTTTCAATCTCCACCTTCAGGCTCAAGCAGTGCTTGATACATCACCGGCAGACAAAGAGTGCTTCTGAAGTGCTTCAGCTACTCAAACAACAGCCTGCTCATGTTATCCAAAGCTTTTAGTTTGCTTGCTTTAGTGTAAGCTAGTGGCTGTCAGAGAAAGAGCACTTCTCATCTATTTGCACAGTGAAAAGATGAACCAGCACCAGCTAAAATATTGGGCCTTCTCATGGGTAGGATGGTAATGATGATATAATTTTAAATACTACATCAGATGAGATGAAACACTACAATAAAAATCAGGTGAGGAATAGGGAGACCAGAAGAGGATGGATTTAATTAGTACAACATTGGACATAGGATGCATAATTAAGCTACATGAAAGACTCTCAAATGGTATGACACTGGAGCAATATTTGTACCTATATATACATGTGTGCTGGGTTTGGCTGGGGTAGAGTTAATTTCTTTCACAGTGGCTGATATGGGGCTGTGCTTTGGAATTGTGCTGAACATAGGGTTGCTAATATAGAGATATTTTTGTTATTGCTTCCATGGAGCCAAGGTCTTTTCTGCTTCTCCTACTGCAATGCTGGCAAGAAGGCTGAAGATACATGCAAAGCCAGGAGTGGACACAGCCAGGACAGCTGACCCCAACTGACCAAAGGGATATTCCATACCATATGACATCACACTCATGCATATAAAGTGGGGGGAAGAAGGAGGAAGGGGGTTGATTGGAGTGGTGGCATTTATCTTCCCAAGTAACGCTTACGTGTGATGGGGCCCTGCTCTCCTGGGAATGGCTGAACACCTGCCTGCCCATGGCAAGCAGTGAATGAATTCCTTGTTTTGCTTTGCTTGTGTGTGAGGCTTTTGCTTTATCTACTAAACTGTCTTTATCTCAACCCACAAGTTTTATAGCTTTTACCCTTCCAGTTCTCTCCCCAGTCCCGCTGGTGGGGAAGTGAACGAGTGGCTGCGTGGGGCTTGGTCAATGGCTTGGGGTTAAACATTGACAACATGCAACATACCAATCTGTCAAAACAGTTAATTCAAAATATTATATTATTTAAAAAAATTACAATATTAAAACAACAAAATCACTGATTCAGCACAAGCAGTCAGTGAGAGAGGCAAGAGTTGACAGAGCCAAGGTAGTAGTTCATATTCAAGGCATTTCTCCTCAGTTCTTCCTGGATGATAGGAGCAGTGTTGGAGTTTACAGCAGTTGTTCCTCATTCAAATACATCTGGTATTTGTACAGAGAAGGCCCTTCTACTCCTCTTACTGTATTGCAATATCCAGAATCCATTGAAAATTTTCAGAATTTACTAGGATGGAACTTCACATGCCCTGAAGTTACAAAAGCATCGATATGAACTCATTTACTGTTGTCTAAACTGCTTTGCAAGTAATTTTCAAATTGCCATCAATAAAGCGCCACGCACTTAAAACTAACTGAAGAGACAAAAATTCATACCCAGGTTTCTTTACGGGTTTCAGAACCATTCTCCACAAATATGACATGGGTAGCTGTTAAATACAAGGTTCCCAGAACAGCTTTCCTTGAAGATAAACGATCAAGTAACCGAACATTTTCCACCTATATAAAGAAATAACAGAGGAAAAAAAAATAATTAGGCTATGACAGTCTGCCATAGTGAGAGCTCCATGTCCACATTTTGTCCATTACAAACAAATTAAGTTCTTTTCTGTACAATATGAAATATAAAAAAGTATAACTATATGAGAAAATGTGATTATATTATGTGATCTGTTTCCAGATGCACCTTAATTTTCATTTTTCCTTCTCTTGTGGTACTTCTGTACCAACAACTTGTTGGCAAAGATATCCAAACACAATTTCTCATTTGATCCTGTCTTTGTGATCTCACCCTACCAAAACCCTGGGATAGCAAGGCAGGGCCTGGCCTTCAGCTAAACTCTAGCCCCATGTTTTCCACTCAAGCCGTTCCAGAATTACCAGTGATACACAGAAGGCTAAAATTTAAAAAAATAACAGTGGTAGAGTGTCTTTCTTCAGCAGGTCTCACTCAGGCTCCCAGGCAAATCTCTGTTCAGTGTTTGTCCCTACACTCCTGTTAGGTCTGACAGTAGAGGTCACACAGGAAGTTTTTACCTTCAGCCACTTTTCAATGGGAATCAAGGACGTCACTTCCACTGCTCTCCCACCTTGGGTACAAAATGGGTGTGTTTGCTACACTCCTGACAGCAGGTGAGTCCATAACACATTATCAACTCTTAGGTCTCTAGCCTGTGGCTTGTACACCATTAATATTTTGTATATAGCAATTGTTATAGGCATCTGTCAGGCGTTGGAATTAGATGATCTTTAAGGTCCCTTGGAAGACACAACATTCTATGATTTCTGACTGAGAAATCAGAACAATTAAAAAATCAACAAAGTGGATATTTAAAGGGATAAAACCTGCCTAGAACAGTTAACAATTTGCAACCATGGGTTTGATGGGTTTCCTGCTACAACAATTTAAAAACTAAAATTATTTTTTCATAAAATAACAGAATAATGCCAGCATATGAGAATTATGTGTTTGCAACGAGTATTCCAAATGCATTGCACTATTTTAAAAATAGGAATAACATAACCTTTAAAATCAAAATAAGCATGTTTGGTAGCAAAATGCCTAAAATCAAACAATTATTAAAACCAAGTCTTCTCCCTCAAGACCAATTATAATCCTCTTTAAACAAAAAGAAAAGAGCTAGAAAGCATGGATGGAGTCTTTTCCCAGGACCATCTACTTCAGAGGTCACATATTGTGTTGAGGAGGAATTGAAGAAATACAGTATTAACCCAGCAAGCATTCAGCAGTAAGCAAAAGAGGAGGGATGATAGAAAAACGCAAGCAGGGCCCTTCTAAAAGGAACACAAAAAACAACAATAAAAATTAGTTTTGTCTGAATGAAAAAAGGTCCCTACGCTGCAGTCCAGCCAATGAGGACTCTGCTGTTCATGCACTGAACTTGCATAAGGCATTCATCACTCCAGCCTACAAACTGAGGCAGTTTGGGCCATGAGATACAAAGCAAAGGAGGCATCCACAGAGCTGGGCAGTGCTGAGGGATGAATTTCTAGGCCTCCCAGTCACAACCTCTCCCCACTCATCAGTCTGAGCCCCATGCATGAACAATGTTAAACATCAAAGCTTCTCTTTAGTTGTGGGACTTTTTTTAATGCAGAGCTACAAATAAAATAAAGGTTGGATATGAATAAACAGGAACAGTTGCAATAAGAGCTGCATAGTAAGTCTGATTTCATTAAAGCAATTGCAGTGGGTGCACCAGGTGAGATCAGAGATTCACCTCTCCCTGCAGTTTGTCTCTTAAGAGTGGACAGTTCCAGCAGTTGAGGGAAAAATATAAGAGACAAGCATTTACAACCATGGACAAACTCCCTCCATTGCAAAAATGAACAATATCCTCTACTATTTTTTTCTCATTTTGTAGTTAGTTATTCCTGAGAGACCTGAATGTCTCATCCTATGATACTTAAGTTTCTTCAAGACCCTTTGATGAAGAACATGCTCAAAAGAGTTCTGGAAGACCAACTAGCTTCTACAAAATGGATCATCCTCATCCATATGTCCAGTCACATTTTCAAAGAAATTGTAGAGATTCTGGGTTCCTCTGTGAAAGCTATGTTTCTTCTCCCCTTTTTTGTAATCATACATACCCATTAATTTAATGATTTAAAACGGGGCTTAAGAGAGCATTGCAGGTCCTACCAATCTCTCACATTACTTGTCATATTTACCACCTCCATTTTTTTTCAGAGTGGGAAACCTTTAAGCCTTACACTTTCACTACTGGTATGACAGTTTAGTACTTTAGTTCTTTTTATTTGCAGGGATACCATATCACCCTGGTAATTTTTTACTGTTCGTTGTTGCCAATTTTTTTGAAATCTCCTCTTATAACACTTTTATCACTGACAAATCTTCTGATATGTTCTCGAGAGAGAAATATGTCAGAATGTATGTCTCCAAACACCTTCTCTACGTTGATAATTTACTAATCCTGTAGATTTTATGGCAGGATTTTACCTACTTAAAGAGAGACTGAAAATTACTTAACTAGCATTTTTTGCCAAGTTGTTCTTCAAAATCTCTCTTGGCCTTTCTTTTATTTATATATATAACTTGTTTATGCTTTATTTTCCTCATTTAGGCAGAAATTTAACTTGAAGAGAGCCCTTTTACTTCCAATAAAAGAAGTCCTTTTAATAAGAGACATCCTCCTACTCTTTCACCCTGCTGTTTAGCTATGCAAACCCTTTTTTTTTTTTTTTGGTCTTTTAAAACCTTTCCCTGGAAGCTGACTTACAGTGAGCTCCCATATTTAAACAATCTTCAGGCCTCCTATAAACATTTTAAATTTTGGCTCTCTTTCCTTTTAAACAGTTTTCACATCTTTATGTAGTTTTCTCTTTAAAGTTGAACATTGCCATGGGAGATTTTTCCCCCCTTTTTTTTTCCTGTTTCAAGAACACTGCATCTAAATGCATCTAACCTGCTGTCACACAGATATTCTAACTGTATTTTGAAACAGACCTTTCTGCCACTATCTAAGACCAAGTCTTAGAATTATTTAGAATTACTTTTTTTTCTGCAGGATAAACAAATAGTTTTTGTATAAGCAACCATTTAAACCCCTGAAAATATTATGCAGAATCACAGCCCCCAGCCCATTTACCCAATCTTAACTGGTAAATTTTGTCTTCCACTGCTATTGTATTTCTTGTCTTCATGCCCTGTTTGATCTTGATTAGGTTTTTCCTGGGCAATGCCACTATTTAGGTAGGACAGTTGGTACTATAGTCCTAATATCGGACTGCAGTCCTGTGGTGCTACAGTTCTAGTTTTCCCATTTAATCTTGTAATTTCAATCTGTAGGGACTCTTGGCTTTTGTGGTGTAGTTAACCCATGAAATTTGACTCTGTTTACTTCAAGACAAAAGAAATCTGCCCTTTACCTGTATTTCCCATGTAATTTGTCACCAATGTGCTTGCCACATTGATTATTTTTCTTCCATTAAGTTTCTAACATGCCTATTACATCAACATTCTCTCTTGCATTCATGTCTAAATGAATACTTTAGTTTCAGAACTTTTTCTAGATTTTTAACATTTCTAGTGAAATACACACATATTTGGTCCAATTGCCTATCTTTATTTGTTGTGGTTAGGCAATTTCTATTTATTGAAAATATAAAAATTTTTATCCTGACAATTTTTTGTGACACAGCACAGCACCCAAAACATCATACATTTTCTGCATTCTTACAAGAGCTTCTTAGTTTTTCAGTACATCAGTGTGGACAAGCACAACTCAGAATCAACTTTCCTACCAGGTTCAACAAGGAAAAAGTATTGTGAGAAATGATGCACTACTGAACTTTTAAGTAGCCCTTATTTCTGCTGACCCCAAAGAATAAAGTAAGACTCAGTTAAAATTAGTGAGAGCTCTGAAATTTGACTCAATAAAAATTAGCTTTATGAGTTGATTAACCTTGCCTACCTCTCAAGTGCAATGTTTCAATCTGTGATTGTAGTACGAGGAAAATAAAGCAGGTTTACTAATAACTTGCTTCATGAACCACTTTATCATGTCTAACACCATTTCTAAAGAGAAAGGGAACTCCTAAAGTCTAAACCCTACCTGGATTCAAATCCACAGTTCTGATTTATGGTGAGTAAGTGGCATTACATGCCTTCAGGAGCAGTAATGATCTCTAAGCTCCCATGAGCTTGTTCTGAAAATTCTCTGCATAATCTCCAGCATGGATTTAGATGCTTTTCATCTGAGCTTTATCTGTGTTTCTTCTGCCTAGATTCCAGTTACTCAAACTTTTTGAAAAAGCAGTTTATTTCACCCATGGGCAGAAAAAAAAAAGTAAAATAGAGCTATCCTCAATCTTAGATTTTATTCTGCTGATAGAAGGATTCAGAGAAGGAGCTTTCTTCTTCTGCACCCTCCCCATCAGGAAAAGAAAGCCAAGTCAAACAGTGTCTTTAAATGGTCTAGAGGGAAGGGGAATATGTTCATTTCCAAAAGAGAGGAACACACATTGCAATAGCACTTTGAAAGAAGATGAGTTCTTCTATCTAAAAAGTCACAGCATGCTGAGAAATCAGCATTAATAGCCAAAATATAAATTTAATATCAGAAAGAGACAATGCAGTAATTAGTTAGGATTTTTTCTCTGTTTTTTTCACCAAAACTACCATAGACTTTATTGGAGAATCTAGAAGATCATGTATATACTGACACATGTCAGGAAAAAGCATACAGACCATGAACATGTGCTTTGCCTAAAATAAACACCTGGTAGGAGAGACTAGATCAGAAAATATGAGGTAAATAAAACAGAGCAAAAATGGCCTGTAAAACTGAGAGCTCAAAGACCTCAATGACCAAGAAAGAAAGTGTTAGCCAAGGGAGTCTAGAGAGTGGCATCTAAGTAAAACTTCAATAATTTATTTCAAGTTTTTGCCCCCATCATTTTTTTTCCCTGATGACTGTGGTTGTCTAGGCCTGAAGAATAGACTGCCAGGAGATTTA